TCCACCACACTCCGGGGCAGAGAGTTCCACTGCTGAACATCTCTCACATAGAATCCTAGAGTTGGAAGAGACCTCCTGGGCCATCCAGTCCAACTTCTGCCAAGAAGCAGGAATATTGCATTCAAATCACCCCTGACAGATGGCCATCCAGCCTCTGTTTAAAAGCTTCCAAAGAAGGAGCCTCCACCACTCTCCGGGGCAGAGAGTTCCACTGCTGAACGGCTCTCACAGTCAGGAAGTTCTTCCTCGTGTTCAGATGGAATCTCCTCTCTTGTAGTTTGGAGCCATTGTTCCCATTGCGTCCTAGTCTCCAGGGAAGCAGAAAGGAAGCTTGCTCCCTCCTCCCTGTGGCCTCTTTTCACATATTTATAAAAGGCTATCATGTTTCCTCTCAGCCTTCTCTTCTTTGGGCTAAGCATGCCCAGCTCTTTAAGCCGCTCCTCATAGGGCTTGTTCTTCCACATCATACTTACTAGGGTAACAGAAAACAAGCTTGCTCCCTCCTCCCTAGGACTTCCTCTCACATATGTATACATGGCCCTCATGTCTTCTCAGCCTTCTCTTCTTCAGGCTAGACATGCCCAGCTCTTTAAGCCGCTCCTCATAGGTAGTGGCTTAAAGTGGAAAACCTATTGCAAAACAAATGTCATCATTGGGTCTCTGAGATGGGAGAAGCAGAAAGGAGATTTTGGGGCCTTCGCCAATAGCAAAAAGTTCATTTTAGTTACTCTAAAATTTATTCTTAAAAATTATTTACCCTTGTGTTGTCGAAGGCCTTCATGGCCGGAATCACTGGGTTGCTGTGAGTTTTCTGGGCTGTGTGGCCCTGTCCAGAAGCACTCTCTCCTGACGTTTCGCCCACATCCGCGGCAGGCATCCTCAGGGGTTGTGGGGTCTGTTGGAAACTAGGAAAATTGGGTTTATATATCTGTGGAATGTCCAGGGTGGGAGAAAGAACTCTCGTCTGTTGGAGCCAAGTGTGATTGTTGCAACTGATCACTTTGATTATATAATAATAATAAAACAAACTTAATTTCTATACGGCTCCATCTCCCCGAGGGGACTCAGAGCGATTCCCAGGTAACATCACAAAACATGCAAAGTAAAAACAACATAACCATAAGATTAACAAAACAAAATATGCATAAAAATGGTCGCCATCACACACATATATTAAAAGTAATCCTGCCTGTTCAAGGCAATTAAAATTTTTAAAAGGCCGGGCCAAGATTTGTGCAAGCCCCAAAATTCTAGGGGGGGGGAATTAAGTGCAATGCTATGGCAGGCAACAATAATATTAGGTACGGGTCTGTGGCTGTTCATTCCGGGGCCGATTAGAGGAAAGAATCTGGGTAATTGGTAGGAAGAATAAGGCCGTATTCAACAATGTGTAGGGCTGAGTTAGAACTGGTCATTTTCAAAGGCTTGTTGAACCACCAGGTCTTCAAGCTCTTACGAAAGGAGGGGAAGGATGGGGCCTGTCTTATTTCCCTTGGAAGGGCGTTCCAGAGGCAGGGGGGCCACCACCGAGAAGGCCCTCTCTCTCTGGGACAGAGAGGAGGGCCTCCCCGGAAGATCTTAGGTACCACTCTGGCGGGAAGGTAACGGCACTCCATGCAGTCATGCCAGCCACATGACCTTGGAGGTGTCTAGGTTCCAGAGGCGGGGGGCCACCACTGAGAAGACCCTCTCTCTCGTCCCCACCAACTGCGCTTGAGACAATAGTGGGACCGAGAGGAGGGCCTCCCCGGAAGATCTTAGGTACCACTCCGGCGGGAAGGTAACGGCACTCCATGCAGTCATGCCGGCCACATGACCTTGGAGGTGTCTAGGTTCCAGAGGCGGGGGGCCACCACTGAGAAGACCCTCTCTCTCGTCCCCACCAACTGCGCTTGAGACAATAGTGGGACCGAGAGGAGGGCCTCCCCGGAAGATCTTAGGTACCACTCTGGCGGGAAGGTAACGGCACTCCATGCAGTCATGCCGGCCACATGACCTTGGAGGTGTCTAGGTTCCAGAGGCGGGGGGCCACCACTGAGAAGACCCTCTCTCTCGTCCCCACCAACTGCGCTTGAGACAATAGTGGGACCGAGAGGAGGGCCTCCCCGGAAGATCTTAGGTACCACTCCGGCAGGAAGGTAACGGCACTCCATGCAGTCATGTTGGCCACATGACCTTGGAGGTGTTATGTTCCAAAGGCAGGGGATCACCACTGAGAAGGCCCTCTCTCTCGTCCCCACCACCCGCGCTTGAGATGGTAGTGGGACCGAGAGGAGGGCCTCCCCGGGAGATCTTAGAGCTCTTGCCAGTTCATAGAAGGAGATGCAATTGCAGAGATAGTCGGGGCCTGAACCGTTTAGGGCTTTATAAGTCATGACCTGCACCTTGAATTTGGCTCAGCTACTTATCGGCAGCCAATGAAGCTGTTTTAATAGGGGTGTTGTATCTCCCTATAGTTTGCTCCAGTCAGGAGCCTGGCTGCCACCCGCTGTACCAGATCTAACTTCAGGGCCGTCTTCAAGGGCAGCCCCACATAGAGCGCATTGCAGTAGTCCAGTTTGGATGTAACCAAGGCGTGGACCACCCTGGCCAAGTCAGACTTCATGAGGTATGGTCACAGCTGGTGCACAAGTTTGAGTTGTGCAAAGGCCCTCCCGGCCACCGCTGACACCTGAGCATCAAGTGACAGCGTTGAGTCCAGGAAGACCCCCAAGCTACGGACCTGCGCCTTCAGGGGGAGTGCAACCCCGTCGAGCACAGGTTGTCACCCAATATCCGGGCTGGTCCCGCGACTGACCAGGAGGACCTCTGTCTTGTCTGGATTAAACTTCAACCATCACAGCATTGAATAGCCTTGCAGCTTCAAGGCTTGGCTGCTTCCTGCCTGGCAGGCATCCTCAGAGGTTGGAATGTCCAGTGCTAGTCAACGTGGCCAGTTACAGTTCCCCAGATAATTTTGGACCCCCAGCTATGGCCCAATGTTGCTGCGTGAATCAGTGAGCATCTTAGATAGCTATTGTGCGGAGTCCACTGGGATGGGCTCTTGGGGAAGGGAGTGTGATATTCCATCTGCCTGTGTCTCTTCCCCCCATGGAGCGAACGGGGAGTCAAGCAGAAACCATCTCACCTTGTTGTAAACAGCAAGGAATCGCCTTTTAAGGCCTAAATTGTATGTTTCTGGAGAGAGAGAGAGCTGAACATTCCTGCGTTGCAGATGGCCCCAGGAGCCCATAGCCGGCGTGGTCTGGAGGAATGTGATGCAGTCACGGTGTTGAAGCTAAACAGGTCCAGATCTCGTTGGTGCGCTTTGGGGAGCAGAGTGGGTGGGCGGAAAAATACCGTGTTTGAGTTCCTGCTATTGGTTGTGGGAGTTGCTCAGATGTGCATTCAACCACAGAAGGGCTGAGGGAGGCATTGTCCATACCTGTCGGACTTGCCATTGACCAGTCGGGTCTCCAAAGGGGGTTTCTCCCCAATGGTTCCTCTTCACCCTGGAAAGAAGTGACTAGGAGAGTGCCAGAAAGAGGGTTCGGTCTTGGACCCAGTACCATTCAACATCTTGACTAATGATTTAGACCAGTGGTTCTCAACCTTCCTCATGCCGCGACCCCTTAATACAGTTCCTCATGTTGTGTTGACCCCCAACCATAACATTATATTCGTTGCTACTTCATCACTGTCATCTTGCTCCTGTTATGAATCGTAATGTAAATATCTGAGATGCAGGATGTATTTTCATTCACTGGACCACATTTGGCACACATACCCAATCTGTCCAAATTTGAATACCGGTGGGGTTGGGGGACGGCTCATATTGTCATTTGGGAGTTGTAGTTGCTGGAATTTATAGTTCTCCTACAATCAAAGAGCATTCTGAACTCCACCAATGAGGGAATGGAACCAAACTTGGCACACAGAACTCCCATGACCAAAAGAAAATACTGGGTTTGGTGGGCATTGGCTTTGAGTTTGGGAGTTGTAGTTCACCTACATCCAGAGAGCACTGCAGACTCAAACAATGATGGATCTGGACAAAACTTGGCTCAAATACTCAATATGCCCAAAAGTGAACACTGGAGGAGTTTGGGGAAAACAGACCTTGACATTTGGGAGTTGTAGTTGCTCGGATTTATAGTTAACTTACAATCAAAGAGCATTCTGAACCCCACCAACAATGGAATTGAACCAAACCTGGCACACAAAACAACCTTGGCTCAGGAGGCAACCTGACAGCCAGCGTCTTCCTTGGGGAGTGAGTGTTGCTCACTTTCACAGTTGTGGTGCAGAGTTGCCCCACTTGGCTCTCCCTAGGCCCTCCCTGCCATCGGGAAACCCAGGTGGAGAGAAACCTGCTCCTTGAGTAAGGCTGCTCCTCTGCCTTGGGAATGGGGAAACAGGTGCCCGGGAGAAGGGCCATTTCCCCAGTGTCATTCTGTAATCCTTTTTTCTGTCCCCCTGGGCTGTTTTGGGAGAGGTCTTTGATTAGCCATGCAAGGGGATCTTCCAGTTTACTCCTTTAGAAAAACCCAGCAGTCTCCCTTGTGCCCAAAAGAGCCGGGGAGTGGGAAACCCATGCGTGCACACTTTCGGTTCTTTCAGTGCGCAACTCCTGGCAGACTAACTTCTCTTGACCAGCTGAGAAAGAAACGAAAAGAGCAATGGTTCCTGGCCTCCTTGTGAGAAGGGACCCTAGAATGACAGGAATGGCATCAGCCAGCCCAAGGTCTCTGGGCAATGTCCTTTTGTTGAAGCAAAGGTTATTTGGCTGCTCTCCCCTATCCGAAAAGCAAGCCTGAATCACACGCACACATGAGGAATATTCTTGGAATGCGTGTGTTGCAAGCGGGCATATTTCTTCAGGAGCCGGGAGGATTGGGGAGGGGCCGGGGTGGAGTTATGTGCCCTGTATTTACCTAGTTTCAGGTGCTGGGCTTTCATTCTCGGTCGAACATGGGGGTGGCGCCTTCCTAACTCAGCCGTGCTTCCTTCCCAAATTGCAGGCAGTGCCTGGAGATCGGGAGAGAGCGGCGGCGTGGTGTTAACCTCGGTCAGGATGTACCGGAAGCACCCGGATCCTCAGGCTCAGGTGTCCCTCAGCTTGGAGCTGGGCAACAAGATGACCCCAAAGGTGGACAGGTGGGGCGAGGCCGGCTCCCCGACGGACCCGGCCCCCCACCAGCTGAGCTTCCTGCCCACCAGCGGACGCCTCCTCAAATCCGAATCCGAGGACTCCGGCGTGGAATTGGCCAGTAATGACCACTCGCCTTCGAGCCCCGTGGGATCTGAGGAAAGCTTCTCCTTGGATGGTTTCCAACCAGGAGTAGAAGATTCTCCACCTCCAGTTTCCCCCAAAGAAAAAGGGTCGGGGGTAGAGGACCCCATCCAGGATTGCACTTACCTCCGGAGTCTCTCTGTCAGCAGAAAACTGGCGCAAGTGGTCCAACGGTCGCAGAAGCATCGCTTGCCCGGTCGCTCACTTGGGCCACTGAGTCATCGGCCTCGCAGCCTCATGGACTTGGAGGAGATGAAGCCCTTTCACTTGCCCCAGCTGGCCAGCGTGGATGGGATTGTGGACATGGCCAATGCAGGAGATGACCGGGTGCTCTTCGGCTGCAAAACCCCGGAAGAGTGCAGCATCCAGGAACAGGTACGTAGGAGAAGGGACGGACCTCACTTGATGCCATTTGACACGGCTTTCTTCAGAATCTTTTTGAGTGCATTTCCCCCCTTGCATTCTGTTTTCCTAGTAGCTTTCCACCATATTTGAGGATAATAATAATAATAATAATAATAATAATAATAATAGTAATAGTAATAATAATAATATACTTTGTATTGTCGAAGGCTTTCATGGCCGGAATCACTGGGTTGTTGTAGGTTTTTCGGGCTATATGGCCATGGTCTAGAGGCATTCTCTCCTGACGTTTCTCCTGCATCTATAGCAAGCATCCTCAGAGGTAGTGAGGTCTGTTGGAACTAGGAAAAAGTTTATAGTATATCTGTGAAAAGACCAGAGTGGGACAAAGGACTCTTGTCTGCTGGAGCTAGGGGTGAATGTTTCAACTGACCACCTTCATTAGCATTTGAAGGCCTGGCTGAGCCTGGGGGAATCTTTTGTTGAGAGGTGTTAAGATGTGCCTGGTTGTTTCCTCTCTGCTGTTTTGCTGTTGTAATTTCAGAGTTTTTAAATATTGATAGCCAGATTTTGTTCATTTTCATGGTTTCCTCCTTTCTGTTGAAATTGTCCACATGCTTGTGGATTTCAATGGCTTCTCTGTGTAGTCTGACATGGTGGTTGTGAGAGTGGTCCAGCATTTCTGTGTTCTCAAATAATATTATTCCAAACTTACTAGTTGACCTACATTAGCAGCTGTACACACATTATTGCTAATGAATTCATATAAAAGTCCAGGTAGAGTTCAGAAAACCTTTGTTTGTTGTTCATTCGTTCAGTCGTCTCCGACTCTTCGTGACCTCATGGACCAGCCCACGCCAGAGCTCCCTGTCGGCCGTTACCACCCCCAGCTCCCTCAAGATCAGTCCAGTCACTTCAAGGATGCCATCCATCCATCTTGCCCTTGGTCGGCCCCTCTTCCTTTTCCTTCCACTTTCCCCAGCATAATTGTCTTCTCTAGGCTTTCCTGTCTCCTCATGATGTGGCCAAAGTACTTCCACTTTGTCTCTAGTCTCCTTCCCTCCAGTGAGCAGTCGGGCTTTATTTCCTGGAGGATGGACTGGTTGGATCTTCTCGCAGTCCAAGGCACTCTCAGAACTTTCCTCCAACACCACAGTTCAAAAGCACCGATCTTCCTTCGCTCAGCCTTCCCTAAGGTCCAGCTCTCACATCTGTAGGTTACTACAGGGAATACCATGGCTTTGACTAGGCGGATCTTTGTTGCCAGTCTGATGTCTCTACTCTTTACTATTTTATCGAGATTGGACATTGCTTTCCTCCCAAGAAGGAAGCGTCTTCTGATTTCCTGGCCACAGTCTGCATCTGCAGTAATCTTTGCACCTAGAAATACAAAGTCTGTCACGGCCTCCACGGTTTCTCCCTCTATTTCCCAGTTGTCAATCATTCTTGTTGCCATAATCTTGGTTTTTTTGACGTTTAGCTGCAACCCGGCTTTTGCGCTTTCTTCTTTCACCTTGATTAGAAGGCTCCTCAGCTCCTCCTCGCTTTCGGCCATCAGAGTGGTGTCATCTGCATATCTGAGGTTGTTAATGTTTCTTCCAGCAATTTTCACCCCAGCCTTGCATTCATCCAGCCCCGCACATCGCATGATGTGTTCTGCATACAAGTTAAAAAGGTTGGGTGAGAGGATGCAGCCTTGCCGTACGCCTTTCCCAATCTTGAACCTGTCTCCTGTTCCGTGGTCAGTTCTGACTGTTGCTACTTGGTCCTTGTACAGATTCCTCAGGAGAGAGGGAAGGGGGCTTGGGATGCCCATCCCACCAAGAACTTGCCACCATTTATGATGATCCACACAGTCAAAGGCTTTAGAATAGTCAATGAAGCAGAAATAGATGTTTTTCTGAAACTCCCTGCCTTTCTCCATTCTCCAGCATCCGGATATTGGCAATCTGGTCTCTCGTTCCTCTGCCTTTTCTAAACCCAGCTTGAACATCTGGCAACTCTCGCTCCATGTATTGCTGGAGTCTTCCTTGCAGGATCTTGAGCATTACACCCAATAATATATTTTATTTATTTTCCACTCTATCTCCCCAAGGGGACTCAGAGCGGATTACAGGTACAGAGAGCCTCACTTATCCAACCTTCGCTCATCCAACGTTTTGTATGATCCAACGTAGCCTGCCTCCTGCCTGGATCCACCGCTGTTTCAATACATTGTGATGTTTGGGTCCTAAATTCGTAAATACAGCAGTTACTACATAACATTATAATAATAGTAATAATAGTAATAATAATAATAATAATAATAATAATAATAATAAAACTTTATTTATACCCCCCTCCATCTCCCCAAGGGACTCGGAGAGGCTTACATGAGGCCAAGCACAACAACACATCAGTAACAAAAAAAGCAATAGGCAAAAAAATAACAACAATACAATATAAACATTAACATAACATTAGGAGCCCCCGGTGGTGCAGTGGATTAAGCCTTCTGCTGGCAGGACTGAAGACCGACAGGTCGCAGGTTCGAATCCCGGGAGAGGCGGATGAGCTCCCTCTATCGGCTCCAGCTCCTCATGCGGGGACATGAGAGAAGCCTCCCACAAGGATGATAAAAACATCAGAAATCATCCGGGCGTCCCCTGGGCAACGTCCTTGCAGCCAATTCTCTCACACCAGAAGCGACTTGCAGTTTCTCAAGTCACTCCTGACATGACCAAAAAACAAACAGGGTGTATTTTCATTCACTGGACCATATTTGGCACAAATGCCCGATATGCCCAAATTTGAATACTTGTGGGGTTGGGCAAGTATTCTGGAGAACAAGCCCTATGAGGAGCGGCTTAGGGAACTGGGCATGTTTAGCCTGAAGAAGAGAAGGCTGAGAGGAGATATGATGAGGGCCATGGAGAAATATGTGAGAGGAAGCCACAGGGAGGAGGAGGGAGCAAGTTTGTTTTCTGCTTCCCTGGAGACTAGGACGCAATGGAACAATGGCTTCAAACTACAAGAGAGGAGATTCCATCTGAACATGAGGAAGAACTTCCTGACTGTAAGGAGAGCCGTTCAGCAGTGGAACTCTCTGCCCCTTGTGGAGTGTGGTGGAGGCTCCTTCTTTGGAGGCTTTTAAGCACATGCTGGATGTCCACCTGTCGGGGGTGCTTTGAATGCAATATTCCTGCTTCTTGGCAGAATGGGGTTGGACTGGATGGCCCAAGAGGTCTCTTCCAACTCTTTGATTCTATGATTCTATGATTCTAAGGATTGATTCTGTCATTTGGGAGTTGTAGTTGCTGGGATTAATAGTTCACCCACAATCAAATAGCATTCTGAACTCCACCAATGATAGAATCGAACCAAACATGGCACACAGAACTCCCATGACCAACAGAAAATACTGGAATGATTTGGTGTGCACTGACCTTGAGTTTTGGAGTTGTAGTTCACCTGCATCTAGAGAACACCGTGGACTCAAAACAATGATGGATCTGGACTGAATTTGGCATGAAAATCAATATGCCCAAATGTGAACTCTAGTGAAGTTTGGGGAAAATAGACCTTGACATTTGGGAGTTGTGATTGCTGGGATTTATAGTTTACCTACAATCAAAGAGCATTCTGAACTCCACCAATGATAGAATTGAACCAAACTTTGCACACAGAGTTCCCATGACCAACAGGAAAAAAAATGGAAGGGTTTGGTAGGCATTGGCCTTGACTTTGGGAGTTGTAGTTCACCTACATCCGAGAGCACTGTGGAATCAAACAATTATGAATCTGGACCAAACTCAGCACAGATATTCAATATGCCCAAATGTGAACACTGGTGGAGTTTGGGGGAAATAGACCTTGGCATTTGGGAGTTGTAGTTCCTGGGACTTGTAGTTCACCTACAATCAAAGAGCGTTCTGAATCTCACCAAGGTTAGAATAGGGCCAAACTTCCCACAAGAACCCCTATGACCAACAGAAAATACTGTTTTCTGATGGTCTTAGGCGACCCCTCTGACACCCCCTCGTGACCCCTCCAGGAGTCCTGACCCCCAGGTTGAGAAACGCTGCTTTAGATGACATTTCAGATAAGCAGTATCGGCTGAATCTCCTTGTGCTATACAACTAAAGATGCACAACCCCCCCTTGAGCGCTTTCTCTGGCAACCCCAGCTGGGTGCAAGGGGGCCAGGGGTCTGAAAGGGGCTTTGCAGCTGAAAGAAGGGGCTCTTGGGTCTGTTGACTATAACTGGAGCGTGCCAGGCCATAGGTTGGCATGGAGGCCGTCATGCTTTCCTGTTGCAACCTAGCCTCTCCTCCTACTAGCTAGGCAGGGCGGTTTCAATGGGAAATAGTCTTCATTCCCTCTTATGATGATATCTTGAGTAATTGCCTCTCGCTGGAATGTGGTGATCTCGCTGAGCTTTAATAACAGGGACACACATATATACAGACACATACATAAATACATGCGTGTACACAATTCTCCTCTCCCTCTCTTCCTTTTATGACGTGACTCTCTTTTTGGCAGTGAATTCAGGACTTGATTCATCTGCGTTCGAGTGAGCTCCATAGCTATTAGCACACCTACTTTGGAACATAGGAAGCTGCTTTATTCTGAGTCAGATCTCGTTCTGGGCCAGGCTAGTTTCGTATCGCTGACCCTGTTTGAGTGGTGACTCTCCGGGGTTTCACAAAGGAGTTTCTCACACTTATCTGGAAATGACGAGGCTGGAAACTGGGATTTCTGGCATCCAATCCAAGGGCAATTCCGCCAAGGTATGGTCCCCCGGTGTCGCAGTGGGTTAAAGCACTGAGCTGCTGAGCTTGTTGATCGAAAGGTCACAGGTTCGATACCGGGGAGCGGCGTGAGCTTCCGCTGTCAGCCCTAGCTTCTGCCAACCTAGCAGTTCGAAAACATGCAAATGTGAGTAGATCAATAGGTACCGCTCCGGCGGGAAGGTAAGGGCGCTCCATGCACTCATGCCAGTGGCCACATGACCTTGGAGGTGTCTACGGACAACGCTGGCTCTTTGGAGCACCACACCCCAGAGTCAGACATGACTGGACTTAATGTCAGGGGACTACCTTTACCCTTTACCTATAATGTATATAATATAATATAATGTATGTAATCTATTCAGGATGTGGGAGCCCCCGGTGGCGCAGTGGGTTAAAGCACTGAGCTGCTGAGCTTGTTGATCGAAAGGTCGCAGGTTCGATTCCAGGGAGCGGCGTGATCTTCCGCTGTCAGCCCTAGCTTCTGCCAACCTAGCAGTTTGAAAACATGCAAATGTGAGTAGATCAATAGGTACCGCTCCAGCGGGAAGGTAACAGCGCTCCATGCAGTCATGCCAGTGGCCACATGACCTTGGAGGTGTCTACGGACAACGCTGGCTCTTCGGCTTAGAAATGGAGATGAGCACCACACCCCAGAGTCAGGCATGACTGGACTTAATGTCAGGGGACTACCTTTACCTTTACCTTATGGTCCTCTTCCTCCCAGAAAAGTAAATGTTTAGGTTGAGAAACACTGGTCTAAATAAATAAAATAAATAATATATAATAATTCACCGAGTTTGGCTGCGAATGGTCGTATATCACCATGCCCTGTCCCTCCCCTTCTCTTAGGTGCCCGAGGAGCCGTCTCTTTCCATGCCGGGACAGGGCCTGCGATACCTGGAGCACATCTGCCAGATGTGGGAGAAGATTGCCCACCTCCAGCGGGCCAACCTGCGGCTTCAGCATCAGCAGCAGATCATGGAGTGCAAGATCCGGGCTCAGAAATTGGAGAACGTAAGGGGAGACTGCACCTCTTAAGACTAAAAATTGAATCCCATCGAAATGCATTGAAACAAGGCACAGACTGTTAGGGTGCATCTACACTGTGGAATTAATGCAGTTTGATGCCACTGTAACTGCCATGGCTCAATGCTGTAGGATCATGGGAATTGTAGTTCTATAGGTGCTACAGAGGGCTAGTGCCTCACCAATCTAGACCTCCCAGGATTCCACTGCATTGAGCCAAGTCACTTAACATGGTGTCAAACTGCATTCATTCTATATTTATTTATTTGGGTTGTTGTAGGTTTTTCGGGCTATATGGCCATGTTCTAGAAGCATTCTCTCCTGACGTTTCGCCTGCATCTATGGCAAGCATCCTCAGAGGTTGTGAGGTCTATCTATCTATTTCTTTACTAGCTTGGGGACCCGGCGCTGCCCGGGTTATTTGAGAAAGGAATTGTGCATCAAGGTTGGTCTTTATCAGTTATTTATATGGCTTGCAGTGGTCTCAGGAAGTTTGTGAAGGTACTGTGAGTCCCATCACCTGTGGTCCATCCTTCTCCAAACTGAACCAGGATGGAGAGTGGGTCATGGGGGCTCTGTGTGCCAAGTTTGGTTTTGATCGGACATTAGATGAGGGTTGCAGCAGTCTTGGGAAGGGAATGGAGGTACTTGAAGTCCCATCATCCATGGTCTGTCCTCCTTGAAAGTGCACCAGAATGTAGAGTGGGTCATGGGGGCTCTGTGTGCCAAGTTTGGTCTTGATCAGTCATTGGCGAGGGTCTCAGTGGTCTCAGGAAGTGAGTGAAGTGACTGCAAGTCCCATCATCCATCTCCAAATTCTTCCAAACCGCACCAGGATGTAGAGTGGGTCATGCAGGCTCTCTGTGTGAATTGTGATCTTGATCCATCATTGTTGGCAGTTGTAATGGTCTCAGGAAGGGAGTGCAGGTATTGCAAGTCCCATTGTCCATGGTGCATCCTCCTCCAAACCACAGCAGGATGTAGAGTGCGTCATGGAGACTCATTGTGCCAAGTTTGGTCTTTGTCGGTAATTGGATGAGGGTTGCAGTGGTATGAAGAATTAAGCAATGGTACTGCAAGTCCCATAATCCATGGTCCATCCTCAGCTAAACCACACCAGGGCGTAAAGTGGGTCATGAGAGGTCTATGTGCCAAGTTTGGTGTAGATCAGTCATGGGATGAAGGTCACAGCGGTCTCAGAAAGTGAGTGATGGTGCTGCAAGTCCCATCATCCATGGTCCATCCCCCTCCAAACTGCAGTAGGATGTAGTGTGAGTGAGAGTGAAGGTACTGCAAATCCCGCAGGCCCTTTTCTTTCTCTTCTCATCCACTTGAGAATGTTAGAATGTTTTTTTAGGTCGTGTTAGGAGCGACTTGAGAAACCAAGTCACTTCTGGTGTGAGAGAATTAGCCGTCTGCAAGGACGTTGCCCAGCGAGGAAGCAAAGAAGGAAGTAGAAAGAACTTGATTTGTGTTATGGAAACCTTGTTCTTGTAAATAGTGCAACCATATTATTTTGCTCTAAAGGAAAGCCTTCCATGTGATGTGGCTGGAAAGAATTGAGCTTAGGAGGCAAACATGCAGAGTCCAACCTTTAAAAAATCACAAAAGGTTTATTTACAACAACAACAACAATAATAATAATAATAATCAAGAACTGAGCGTGAGCTACTCTTAACACCCACGTCTTCTAAGGTTTCAAGAGAGGGAAAAATCATCCAGGCATTGCAACTCTCCTGACACACAAGCAGAGAGAGATCTCAAAGTACGCAGCATATACTCCCAATACTCCACGCTCTGGTGACATCCCGAATAGACTACTGCAATGCTCTCTATGTGGGGTTGCCTTTGAAGACTGCCCGGGAGCTGCAGTTAGTCCAACATTTGGCAGCCAGGTTACTAACGGGAGCGCACAACTCCTTTGTTGTGCCAGCTCCACTGGCTGCCAATTAGTTTCCGAGCACAATTCAAAGTGCTGGTGTTTATTTATTTATTTATTTATTTATTTATACACTTGTATACCGCTAATATCTCAGCCTAAGTCGGCGACTCATTGCGGTTTACAGCAATTAAAAACAATATACAATTTAAAACAACAACACATAGACAATACAGATTATTGGGCCACCAATAATAATACCATGCATCTCGTCAATAAAATCACCAATCCAGAGTTCGTCATCCATAATTAACCAGTCCTTAGTCAGCAAAGTTCGGTAATAACAGACTAACCGAATGCTTGTTTAAACAACCAAGTTTTTAGTGTCTTCCGAAAAGCCATCAGCGAAGAGGCAGATCGTATCTCTATAGGGAGGGTGTTCCAAAGCCGAGGGGCCACAAAACCCTATACTTTTCCTGTCCAAATGTATTCTCCCCTATGAACCATCAAGGTTGTCAAGATCTTCTGGAGGGTCCCTGCTCTCGGTCCCACCACATTTGCAATCATGTCTGGTGGGGACGAGGGACAGGGCCTTCTCGGTGGTGGCCCCTCGGCTGTGGAACTCTCTCCCAACTGAGATTAGCTCCGCCCCCTCCTTCCTGACCTTCGGGAAGCTAGTGACATCCTGGCTATGGAAAGAAGCCTTCCCGGAATAAGGGCTGAGACCGGCAAGAGACTAAAGTTACTGATCACATATGCGGACTGAACTGGACGTGATTTTATTTTGGCGACCTGGCTTATATGTTTTAATCTATTTGCATTTTATCCTTTTATTGTTTGTATGATGTTTTAGACTCTATTTGGCACTGAATTTTAGCTGTGAGCCGGTCTGAGTCCCTCTACGGAGGTGGAGAAGATCGGGATACAAAAGTTATAAATAAATGAATCAAAAACACTAAAGTGTAAGAAGGCAGATTCAGAAAGCATGCAGTTTGAAATATCCATTTTACACAACGAATCAGAATGAGAGCAGAAAGGGAGAGAAGGAAAAGATACATTCCCAAGTGTTGTACAGGAGACATAGGTAAAACCCTTAGTCTACACTACACTAACGAAACTGTTCCTCATTGAGGACTTGAGACTTGGGCAGTGTGGGGTTGAATCCCAAACAGTTAGCATCCCTCAGACTTTCTTGGAATGGCTTTTCTGGGATTGTGGCGCAGCTGTCTGAGTGTCAGCTGCATGAAAATCACTTCTGACCACAAGGTTATGAGTTCGAAGCCAGCCTGGGTTGGAGTGAGCTTCCGACCAGTTGTGTAGCTTGTTGTCGACCTTTGCAACCCGAAAGACAGTTGCATCTGTCAAGTAGGAAAATTAGGTACCACTTATGTGTGGGGAGGCTAATTTAACTAATTTGTGAGGCCATAAAAAAGATTCCAGCAAAGCATGCGGGGAATGCGGAAGTCCTTCAGCAGTGTCGCAGATGGACGTTGAAAGTGACAGCTCTGCTAGCAGCCAGAAAAGTGAAATAGCCTCTGACTGTCTCTTTATATGTGTTGTGTGTCTTTGGCATTGAATGGTTGCCGTGTATGTGGACATTGCAATCTGCCCTGAGTCCCCTGTGGGGTGAGGAGAAGGGCGGAATAGAAATACTGTAAATAATAAATAAAAACAAATAATTCTCCAACCCTGAAACCACTTTGTCCCCTAGGAGGGCTTTTCCGAGGAAACGTCTGAAGACCCTGAGCTGGTGGAAGTGGGACCCTTGCCAGCAAATGCTTCGGAGATGGAGAGAGAACCGGACGGGGACGCCGCTTCACCCAACTCCTGGCACACGCACCAGTTCCGGGCACGTTCCGCTTCCGATACACGGATGCTCCGGAGCCCAGCCCGCAGCCACCGTGAGTGACCAATGCTTTTGTACTCACAGACCCATAGACTTGGAAAGCACACTGGGTGAGAATGTGGAGATTATGGGTTTAGTGCACAACTGTTATCTTCTCTAAGATAATGCATATTTCTCAAAACTCTCTTGGCGGGGTGTGTTGGAAACCATTTTTTGAAAATGGTTTGGTTGCAGTTCTCACTTTCCATCCCAAAATGTTGGCAGGATTGGCCAAGCCCCGTCATGGATACATTGCCACTGATTTTCTGCCTCATTTAATGTTAGACTATTGTTTGTTTCAGTCCTACATTGTTTATTTGGGAACTGTGTGCTTCTTGAGTTGTTTCCCGACACCTGTCAGAAATATTAAAAATTAACTGGGTATTTTTAATTACAAAAATGTGAGTCAAGCACTGAAACGGTTAAATGGATGCAATGACTCAGCAAAAGCTGCAGTTCAAGATAAGCGGGTGTGCCTGTAGCTTGGTGTGCCTCAATGTTAGTTTCCATCAGTATGAGAGAAGCCTCAGTATGAGAAGGCCTCAGTATGAGAGAAGCCTCAGTATGAGAGAAGCCTGAGTATGAGAAGGCCTCAGTATTAGAGAAGCCTCAGTATGAGAGAAGCCTCAGTATGAGAAGGCCCCAGTATGAGAAGTCTTCAGTATGAGAGAAGCCTTAGTATGAGAAGGCCTCAGTATGAGAAAGCTCCAGTGTTAGTTTGCTTCAGTCTCAGTGTTAGTTGCCCTCAGTATGAAAAGGCTTCAATCTGAGAGAGGCCTCAGTGTGAGGTTTTTTGTGTGTCAGGAGCACCTTGAGAAACTGCAAGTTGCTTCTGGTGTGAGAGAATTGGCTGTCTGCAAGGACGTTGCCCAGGGGACGCCCAGATATTCTGATGTTTTATCATCCTTGTGGGAGGCTTCTCTCATGTCCCCACATGGGGAGCTGGAGCCGACGGAGGGAGCTCATTTGCACCTTCCCTGGATTCGAACCTCCAGCCTGTCAGTTTTCACTCCTGCAGGCACTAGGGTTTAACCCATTGGGCCACCGGGGGCTCCAGTGTGAGGTAAACCTTAGTGTTACTAGGCTTCAGTGTGAGGTAGGCCTCAGTGTGTGAGAGGCCTGGTGTGAGAAGGAGTTGGAGCCGACAGAGGGAGCTCATTCGCACTCTCCCTGGATTCGAACCTCCGACCTGTCCTGCCAGCACAAGGGTTTAACCCATTGCACCACCAGGGGGCTCCAGTGTGAGGTAAACCTCAGTGTTACTAGGCCTCAGTGTGAGGTAGCCTCAGAGTTAGTAGGCCTCAGTGTGTAAGAGGCCAGGTGTGAAAAGGCTTTGGTGAGAGAAGCCTAAGGTTGAAGGGCTCTTGTGTAAAGCTCCAGTGTGAATGCTGCTGTGTATAAAAGGCTACTGTGTGAAGTTCCTGTGTAAGTTTAGTGTGAGAAGAGGCTCTGTGGGAGTGAAGCTTCTTATCTGCACGAGAAAGAAGCAAAGAAGGAAGTATAAAGAACTTTATTTGTGTTATGGAAACCTTGTAAATAGTACAGCCACATTATTTTGCTATAAGGAAAATCCTCCTAAGGAAGAGATAACATTGGTTGGTGTGTTTTTGTTCTTTTTTATCACTTTGGGCTCCTGGTGCTGGGTCACGCTGCTACTAACAAGTTTCTCTGCCATGCATTTATGAGGAGGGTCTTTTGTTAATAAGCCCACTTGCCCAACAACATCTAGTTGTTGGCCTCCAGTTCTTGTTAGCCCAATAGAGAAATGCACTGGAAGTTCATTGATACATGGAAGAAAGCTGTGAGTTCTGGACATCTAAAGATGCATGTCTGTTCAACTCTGGGCCATCTAGTCCAACCCCTTTGCATTTGGCCGTTAATGTTTGGTTTCAATGCAGACAAGGACTCCAAAGATCACTTGCCTGGTGGCAGAAGTCCAGCTGTCACTACATAATCCAAAAAGTCATTTTTCCAAGCTCTGGGCACTTTCCAGTGTCCCAAAAATTGTTGCGTTGTGTTGTGCTAACAAAACCTCTCGTCTTCCCGCAGTAAACAAGGCCGACGGCTCAAGGAAGTCCGCAGCCCACTCGGCCAGCTCTCCCAACCTCCTGGATCAGTTGGATGGCGGCTCTCATACGTTACCAGCAAACATAAGGGTCAAGGTAGGCTGGGCAGCTGTGACAGGATAGCGACAACAAGGTTCATGTATAAATAGACATTGGGGATAGATCTGTGTGTCTTCCCACACTTCTTGGGAGAACGCACACACATTTAACTCCAAAGCACATTCAGTAAAATGGGTAGCAATAGTTCAGTAACAACAACAACAACAACAATTTATTTAAATTCCGCTCTATTTCCCTGAGGGGACTCAAGAGCAGATTATAACATACACAGATAGGCAAATATTCAGTGCCTTTAATGCAGTGGAATAACAATGACATACAAATACACAAAGGTAAAGGCTTCCCCTTTCATCTCTGGCTTCCTGGATGCGGTGCTCAACTCTGGCCACAGGCAGGTGCTCTCGTTCCATTTCGAAGCCGAGGAGCCTGTCCGTAGACACTCCTTGGTTGTGTTGCTGGCATGGCTGCATGGATATTCTTTTGCCTTTCCATCAAAGTCTACTCACATTTGCGTGATTTCAAATTGCAAGGTTGGCAGGAGCTAGGGCTAACAGCAGGAGCTCACCCCAACCCGCAGCTTTGAACGGCCAACCTTTAAGTCAGAAGATTTAACAGCTCAACCGTTTAACCTGTTGTGCCACTGCGGAAGGAAGGAAGGGGAGAAAGAAAGAAAGAGAGAAAGAGAGAAATGGAAAGACAGATGGAAAGAGAGAAGGAAGGATGGAAGCAAAGAGCAAAGAAAGGAAGGAAAGAGGCAGAGAAGGAAAAAGGATTGAAAGAAGGAGGGAAGGAAAGAGAGAAGGAAGGATGGAAGCAGACAGCAAAGAAAGGAAGGAAAGAGGAAGAGAAGGGGAAAGAAAGAAAGAAAGAAAGAAAAGAGAGAAGGAAGGATGGAAACAAAAAGCAAAGGAAGGAAGGAAAGAGGCAGAGAAGGAAAAAAGATAGAAAGAGGGAGGGAAGGAAAGAGAGAAGGAAGGATGGAAGCAAAAAGCAAAGGAAGGAAGGAAGGAAGGAGAGAAAGCAGAAGGAAAAGAAAAAGGGGGAAAGAAGGAAAGGAAGGAGAGAAGGAAAGAAGAAAAGGGAAGGAAGGAAAGAGGGAGAGAAGGAAGAAAGGAAAGAAAGAGAGGGGAAAGGAAAGAGAAGGAAGGATTGAAGCAAAAAGCAAAGGAAGGAAGAAAGGAAAGAAAGCGGAAGGAAAAGAAAAAGGGGAAAGAAGGAAAGGTGGAGAAGGAAGGAAGGAGAGAAGGAAAGAACAAAAGGGAAGGGAGGAAAGAGGGAGAGAAGGAAGAAAGGATAGAAAGAGAGGAAAGGAAAGAGAAGGAAGGATAGAAGCAAAAAGTGAAGGAAGGAAAGAGAGTAAGCAGAGGAAAAGAAAAGGGGGAAAGAAGGAAAGGTAGGGAAGGAAGGAAGGAAAGAAGAAAAGGGAAGGAAGGGAGGAAAGAGGGAGAGAAGGAGGGAAAGAGGGAGGGAAGGTGGTCCACAGCACCGCATGGCGGGTACAGCTAGTCCAATGATAAAGGTGTTGTTTACCACTTGCCCCTTCCCCCAGAGCTTTTTTTCTCCTGTGTTTTGCAACAGCTGATCCCTTTTTTCTTGTGGTTTGCTCACTCTCTTCTCCATCTTCGGTGCCTTTCAGAATGAGCACTCCAACTGGGGCAAAGTCAAAGTGCTAATCAACAGGATGAAGAGGAAGTCCTTGCGGTCCAATGAAACAGGGTCCCTTGACCACCTGGCAGCAGGCAGCAGGCAGTGCAGGTAAGTTGCTGCTTTGGGAGGGGAGACCTTCAGGTTTTGGGTCAGATCTTGCCAGGGGGAGAAAGAGAGAGACGGGCTGCTTTGGGAGGTCTTGTAATGTCGACTTCTCTGGAACGAGGAGTGGGAAATTTGTCACCTCCTCCAGGTATTGCTGGACTGCTGTTCCTACCTTTCCAGTTGCAACATTCACACTTGCCACAATAATAATAATAATAATCATCATCATCATCATCACCATCATCATCATCATCTTTATTTATACCTCTCCACCATCTCCCCGATGGGGACTCGGAGCGGCTTACATGGGGCCAAGCCCGGACAACATATTACATCAAAATAAAACCAAAACATAAACAACACCATCAAAATTACATGGGGAAAAATACAATAACAAAATAACATTACAATATACAGACAAGAGTTCTTCCTCCCACCCTGGACATTATTCCACAGATATATAAACCCCACTTACGTAGTTTCCCACAGACCTCACAACCTCTGAGGATGCCTGCCATAGATGTGGGTGAAATGTCAGAAGAGAATGCTTCTGGAATATGGCCGGACAGCCCAGAAAACTCGCAGCAATCCAATATTTCCGGCCATGAAAGCCTTGGACGACACATAGCACCGCTCTTGATAAGATTCCCATAGAAAGATTCAAATCCAATCCAAACATTTAATATTATGAGCTTGTTTCCAGTCTTTTTTGATTAATCTCTGTGTCCTTGACAAAGGAAAAAGTCAACATCACCAGCTGGGCAAACAATAGTTGTATGTTCACAACCATAGGATAGTGTAGTGTTTATGGAATGGGGGAGCTGTGCCTGTATCTTTTGGAAGTCAGACTTGCCCACAGTGGTCCATGCTCTGGTTACATCCCATATAGATTACTGCAACGCTCTCTACGTGGGGTTGCCTTTGAAGACTGTCCGCTTTGCGTAAGGTCAGGCCTCGCGCAAATGAGCCCTCACCTGGCCCGCGGCCTTGCTGGCCAGTGAGAGCACGAGGCAGGTGAGGGCTCCTTCACACTAGGAATGGCCTCGCGCAAAGCCTGGGGGGGGGGGCAAAGACTTGGGGGCGGGGCCAAAGGAGGCAGCCTCGCGACCCCTCCGAAATGGCCAAATGACCCCCTTGGGGGTCGCGACCCCCAGGTTGAGAACCACTGAACTAGAGGCTCTAGTATAGAATATAATAATAATAATAATAATAATAATAATAATAATAGTAATGTCACATAATTGATGTATCAAAAAATAATAATTTTATTTCTTACACGCCTCTCCTCATGGCTCAAAGCGGATTACAGGTGGGAGCTCACCCCACTCCTTGGATTCGAACCACTGACCTCTCGGTCAGCAAGTTCAGCTGCTCAGCGGTTTAACCCGCTGCACCACCCAAGGGTCCAACGTAACTTGAATTCTTTTCTATTTTTCTCTTACAGAGAAGACACTGTTTTGGACAAACAAGAGCCCGTTCTCCGGCGGCGTTTTCTGCCCGCTCTGGGGACAAAGAAACGCCATTCGAAGCATCTTTCCATTCGGTGAGCTTGGAGTTCCTTTGGAGGCATGAAAGATGGGCGATGCTGAATTCAGTACGATTCTGGTCCTTTTCTTCACCTGCAAAGGATGAGACTTTCCGTCATAAGTGAGCCAACAGCCCCATCTTCTGTGACCGAGAAAGAAGGGAATTCGTCGTCCTTTTCCTTCGCAAACCAGACCTGTCTGTGGACCGTCTCCCTCGTATTGGCATCTACCTGCAAACCCAACTTTGCAGCCTGGTAGCAAACCTTGTGAGCGTGTGCTTCATTCCTTCTTTCCTCTTGGAAGACATTTCCCCTGCCTGGTGTTGATCGTAGTTGTGTGTTGCAGAGGGACTGATAACACGAGCCGTGGTGCAAACTGGATTTGCAAGCTATGGTTATGAGGGAACCCATGGTGATTGGAGACACACATTTTCTTCAAGAGCTCACTTTGGCCCAGCTCCACCCAGTGCAAGCCACGGCCATTGCTAAGCTGGTTCTTTGCAAGCCGTGATGGCTTTGTACCAGACCCTTCCATTATTTCTTTTTCCCTCCATATCCGTTTTGGGTGGAACTGGGTCCTGATTTGCAAATCACTGTTTGCAAGGTGATGTATTCATTCAGTCACCCAAACCTTCTGTTTGGTCCTCATCCACTCCACTTTTCAATGCACTGTGATTGGGACTGGTCTCTCTGAGGCTGGTCCTCTGGAGGGAACTGGTTTTGGGCCTGTCCCCTTTACACCAATCTCCCAAATGCAATTCACATAATGTTCCCATGCTGTGTGCATTTTCCTAAAGGTAGATTCTTCTCACAACACTATCGTTCCCAAGGCTGGTTTGCTTTGCTTACATTCAATGTTTACGTGAGCCATTTGCAGACGGAGGAGGCGGCCTCGGAGGAAGCCCTCTCTTCTCCGTATCTCTTCCCATTGCATCTCCATCAGGAAATCCCTGTGTCGCCCAATGTGAAATAACTTATTGGTTCTCCTTACCGCCCCCAATTAAAACAGTGGTCAAAGACCTCTTGCGATGCCTACAGCCATAACACTTCACATATGGAGTGAATCTTGTATATTTATATGACTTTTTGGTCACGACTGTATTTGTATGTAGAAATGCATGTATGCTCCAGATTACAAAAATAAAAACTTTTTCCATACTTTTAAAACATTCTGCTTTGGAAATGGCAGTAAAGTTTTTTTTAAAGCCCAGTTGCCCAGGGAATGTGTGGATTGGCATTGTTACAGAACAACATGAGCAGATTTCTGATGGATCATATGAAGGTTATCCGGAAAGTAAGGTTACAAGGCATGTAAGCTCTCGTGGGGAATTTTCTCAAGGTGAGTTGGTATCACTTCTGTGTAGCGAGAAGCCAGCAAAAGCGAATGAGCATTGCCAGTCGTCAGTAGCTCATCGACTGGCATTGTGGTGAAGGTTAGAGATGAGCCTTTTGCAACTGATAGGTGGTAATTTTGTCAGCGCCGATTGTGTTTAAGTGCAGGCCAAGGTCTTTAGGTACTGCACTCAGTCTGCTGATCACCACAAGGACCACCTTGACTGTCTTGTGCCAGAGTCTTTGCAATTATTATTATTATTTATATCATTAATATTAAATGTTGGTAAAATGAAAACATTGATTCATTACAATAGTTTACAGTTGCAATCCCAGGCAGACACATTATATAATTATAATATTTATTTATTATTTACTTTGCTTCTATACCGCTGTATCTCAAGCCCGAAGGCGACTCACAGCGGTTCACAAACAGTAAAAACAGTAGAAACAGCAGTGGTTCCATACAACATATAACAATTGACTTAACACATTATCCATAAATTAACAATAAGCAATTACAATGCACAATTATTACGAAAAACAACCGTACCCAATCTTCTCATCATCCAAGCGTAGTCCTAATTATTATTATTTGAAACACAACAAGATGAGTCCACAACAAACAAGATCACTCTGCTGGCTGTTGCATTGGTCACACGTTGGACACCTCCCAAATGTCTAGGACTGTGTGATGTATTATTATTATTATTATTATTATTATTATTATTATTATTATTATTACTGTTATTATTATTTACACAACAAGATGAGTCCACAGCAGACAAGATCACTCTGCTGGCTGTTGTATTGGATCACACGTCGGACCCTTCCCAAGTGTCTAGGACTGTGTGATGTATTATGATGATTATGATTATGATTATTTGAAACATAACAAGATGAATCCACAGCAGACAAGATCACTCTGCTGGCTGTTGTATTGGATTGGATTGGACACTTCCCAAGAGTCTAGGACTGTGTGATGTATCAGCAAATAATGTGTACAGATCTGAGTCGGGTGGCCTTTTGCAGCTGGTAATTTTTTGAGCTCTGATTGTGTTTAAGTGCAGGCCAAGGTCTTCAGGCACTGCACACAGTGTGCCCATCACCACTGGGACTACCTTTACTGACTTGTGCCAGTGTCTTTGCACATAATAATGATATAATATAATATATAGTAATATATAATATATGATGTGATATGTGATGTGATGTGATATAATATTACTTACTTTAGGCGATCCCTTGTTGGACGAGTAAGATGGTCTTCCATTATGCGTTTCCTTGTGGGTCCGTATGTGGCTGTGGAGCCCTATTCTTGCTCTGCATCTTCTTCCGCAGTGAGGACATTGGTTTCCAGGTGGAAGGCGGTCCCGGTCAGAGTTGGCTTGACGCGCCTTCCTCTTGGCACGTTTCTCTCTTTCACCCTCCACTCATGCTCCTCAAATTCTGTAGCACTGCTGGTCACAGCTGACCTCCAGCTGGAGCGCTCAAGGGCCAGGGCTTCCCAGTTCTCAGTGTCTATGCCAGAGTTTTTAAGGTTGGCTTTGAGGCCATCTTTAAATCTCTTTTCCTGTCCACCAACATTCCGTTTTCCGTTCTTAAGTTCAGAGTAGAGCAACTGCTTTGGGAGACGGTGGTCAGGCATCCGGACAACGTGGCCGGCCCAGCGGAGTTGATGGCAGAGGACCATCGCTTCAATGCTGGTGGTCTTTGCTTCTTCCAGCACGCTGACATTTGTCCGCTTGTCTTCCCAGGAGATTTGCAGGATTTTCCGGAGGCAGCGCTGATGGAATCGTTCCAGGAGTTGCATGTGACGTCTGTAGACAGTCCATGTTTCGCAGGCATAGAGCAGGGTTGGGAGGGGAATGGCTTTGTAGACAAGCACCTTGGTCTCCCTACAGATGCCCCGGTCCTCAAACACTCTCTGCTTCATTCGGAAAAATGCTGCACTTGCAGAGCTCAGGCGGTGTTGTATTTCGGTGTCGATGTTGACTTTGGTGGAGAGGTGGCTGCCAAGGGAGCGGCAATGGTCCACATTTTCTAATGCTACACCATTAAGCTGTATCTCTGGCATTGGGGAGGGGGTGGCTGGTGTCTGCTGGAAGAGCACTTTGGTTTTCTCGATGTTCAGTGACAGGCCGAGCTTCTCGTATGCTTCTGCGAAGGTGTTTAGAGTGGCTTGTAGATCTTCTTCTGAATGTGCACAGACGACATTGTCATCAGCATACTGGAGTTCTATAACAGATGTTGTTGTAACCTTGGTTTTGGCTTTCAGTCTGCTGAGGTTGAATAGCTTGCCATCTGTCCGATAGATGATTTCCACTCCGGTGGGAAGCTTCCCATCAACAAGGTGAAGTATCATAGCGATGAAGATGAAGAATAGAGTTGGGGCAATAACACATCATCCCTGTTGAACACCCAATTCCAGCTTAAATGAGTCACTTTGGGAGCCATGGCTGTCCACTGTTGCCATCATGTCATCATGGAGGAGCCGCAGGATGTTCACAAATTTGTTAGGGCACCCGATTTTTTGGAGGATGGTCCAGAGAGCGCTGCAATTCACTGTGTCGAATGCCTTTGCAAGGTCAATGAATGCCATATACAGAGGTTGATTTTGTTCCCTGCATTTTTCTTGGAGCTATCATGCTGTGAAGATCATATCCACCATTCAAAACATTTTTATTTATGTAGCAGAAGATCTAATTGTGACGTCATCATCAGGTTCGCAGTTTGGGAGTGATCCTGGACTCATCGCTGAGCCTGGAGCCCCAGGTTTCAGCGGTGGTCAGGGGAGCTTTTGCACAATTAAAACTTGTGCGCCAGCTGCGCCCGTACCTTGGGAAGTCTGACTTGGCCACGGTGGTCCACGCTCTGGTTACATCCCGTTTAGATTACTGCAACGCTCTCTACGTGGGGTTGCCTCTGAAGACTGCCCGGAAGCTTCAATTAGTCCAACGTGCGGCAGCCAGGTTACTAATGGGAGCGGGGTACAGGGAGCATACCACTCCTCTGTTGCACCAGCTCCACTGGCTGCCAGTCAGCTTCCGAGCACAATTCAAAGTGCTGGTGTTAACCTATAAAGCCCTAAACGACTCTGGCCCAGTTTACCTGTCCGAACGTATTCTCCCCTATGAACCATCAAGATTGCTAAGATCGTCTGGAGGGGCCCTGCTCTCGGTCCCACCGGCCTCACAAGTGCGTCTGGTGGGGACGAGGGACAGGGCCTTTTCGGTGGTGGCCCCTCGACTCTGGAACTCCCTTCCACTGGAGACTAGAACTGCCCCTTCTATCTTGACGTTCAGAAAACAGGTGAAAACTTGGCTATGGAAAAAGGGCATTCGATGAATGAGTCAAGATCCTGTGATATGGATGGATGATGATGAACAACGATTTTATAATGACGACTGACCATTGTAATTATATGATTGTATTTTGCTATTTTAATGTTTTAGTGTAATTTGGATTATGATGTTTTAATGATCGTTTGTAATATTGTTGTTGGAAACCGGCCTGAGTCCCTCGAACCGAGGTGAGAAGACCAGTATAAAAAACTGATAAATAAATAAATAATATAAAATATAATATAAAATATATAATATAATATAAAATATATTATTGTTGGAAACCGGCCTGAGTCCCTCGAACGGAGGTGAGAAGACCAGTATATAAAACTGATAAAAAAATAAATAATAATATATAATCTATAATATAAAATATAATATAAAATATAAAAATATAAAATATAACATAAAATATATAATATAATATCAAATATAATATAATATATAGTATAGTATAATACTATACTATACTATACTATACTATATCTGGAGGGAGGGTGGAAGTGTGCGCATGCGGGCACTAAAGGCACAGGAGAGCCCCCTAGTGGTCAATCAGTGCCGCGCATGCGCAGGAAGGCACAGCCTCGCTCTCGTTCTGTACCTCTGAGCGTCCATCTCGGCCCCGCATGCGCAGAACGCGGAGCGAAGCCTACTTCCGGTTGGAGGGCTTCCGGCGCGCGGCGTTTCCGTTGGCGAGCGACATCCGTTGGCGGCGTTTCCGGGTCCCTTTGTCTTTGGCGCCGCGGCCGGGCTGGGCAGTGGGCGAGAGGGTCTCCACGTCGTCTTGGAGGGGGAAGAAGCCCCCCGGAGCCTCGCCCCGGAGAGAAGAAGAAGAGGCCTCTTGGGAAACAGGTGCGAGAAGGAGCCAGGCCCAGGCCTTTGAGGCCTGCTCTTGAGTAGGGATGAGGCTTTGGAGCGACGCGCGGGCAAACTGGGGCCCTCCCTCCCTCTGGGTGTTTTGGACTACAACTCCCAGCATTCCTCACAGCCTCAGGCCCCTCCCTTTTCCCCCTGGGCCGCTTAAGCAGGAACACCTCAGCAAGCAAGAGTCCAAAAGTGGCAGGCAAACTGGGGCCCTCCCTCTGGGTGTTTTGGACTACAACTCCCAGCATTCCTCCCAACCTCAGGCCCCTTCTTTTCCTCCCTGGGCCGCTTAAGCAGGAACACCTCGGCAAGCAAGAGTCCAAAAGTGGCAGGCAAAATTGGGCCCTCCCTCTGGGTGTTTTGGACTACAACTCCCAGCATTCCTCACAGCTTCAGGCCCCTTCCTTTTCCCCCTCAGCCGCTTAAGTTTTACTTTACTGGCTTGCGCCAGAGTCTTTGCAGTTCAATCTTTAAATTCTTGTATCGTGTCAGCTTTTTCAGTTGTTTCTCTTCAATCCTGCTGTTGCCTGGGATTGCAACATCAATGATCATTCTTCCCCTCCTCCTCCTCCTCCTCCTCCTCCTCCTTCTATCAATGATCATTCTTCTTCTTCTTCTTATTATTATTATTATGATGTAGGGGTGCCCTTGAAAAGTGCCTGGAAACTCCCAACAAGTTCAGAGATCTGCAGCCAGGTTATTGACAGGTGCTGGACCCAGGAAGCATACCACCCCCTGTTACAGCACCTACACGGGCTGCCAATATGTTTGCAAGCCCAATTGAAGGTGCTGGTTCTGACTTTTAAAGCCCTAAACCAGTGGTACTCAACCTGTTTTGACCTTCCACTCCCAGAAATCCTGCTGTTAGGATTTCTGGGAGTTGAAGGCCAAAACATCTGGGGACCCACAAGTTGAGAACCAGTGTCTTAAACGGTTATGCCCAACTTACCTCTCTTTCTTCATCGCCTCTTACCAACCTGCCCAATTATTATGACTGTCTGCCGCTGCTGCCAAAAATACAGTTGCCAGCAACGAGAGAGAGGTCCTTCTGGGTAGCCACCACGACCCTTTGGCACTCCCTCCCCATTGAGATTAAAACTGCCCCTTCTCTCTTATCTTTCAAGAACCAATTGAAGACCTACCTGATGAATGAACTCAATTGCTAATGACAGCAAGGTCAATTGGCACTGAGATTAGCGAAATTTACTATTTAATTGATGGGTCTCCACAATCATTGTAATTGGTTTGAAATGTTTTAATGCTTAATATTGATTTATATCTTATTTCTGGACATTATTATGCTTTGTGTGATTTTTGTCTTGTAACGTAATTGCTTCGAAGTTAGTCCTATTTGACCCAAGCTGTATTTACAAGAACTGCTGAGAAATCAGGTGAGTGTCTGAAATGGATCTTCGCCAGTTATTGGGCACCAATAACCAATTTGGGAAAATGTTTAGCCTTGTATGGCGTGCATGTTAGCTTGATGCTTGAGAATTCAGCGGAAGGAATCTTCTTTCCTTATTCTGCATGATGTTTACTGAAATAGGATACGATTATAACCTATGCATGTCTTGCTATGTGTGCATTTTTAGGAAAGAAAGCCGTCATACTTTTCAAAATGGCACAGTTCAAACGCCAGAAGCAGTTGAGAGCCAGCAATCTTCAGGGAGCCAGATCATTCTCAGGTTGGTTCAACCAAAGTGTGCTTTTGCTCCACTGTGATGCAGCCTCAGTCTTTGTGTCTGTGTATTTGTTGCCTTCCTCGTTTCTTCTGTAATTCTTCTTAGTTATTCTTAACAAAACTTAAATGTAAAATTCTTGCCTGTTGGGTTATGCAAATCTATGTGCTTAATCAGAATTTCAGAGGGTACTCACCAATGCTTCATCTTCATCCTGGAAAGAAGTGATGAGTGGAGTGCCATCAGCAGGGTCCTGCTCCTGTTCAACATCTTTATTAATGACTTAGATGAAGGGTTAGAAGGCAGGATCATCACGTTTGCAGATGGGACCAAATTGAGAGGGATAGCCAATACTCCAGAGGACAGGAGCAGGATTCAAAACGATCTGGCAGATTAGAGAGATGGGCCAAAACTAACAAAATGAAGTTCAACAGTGACAAATGCAAGAGACTCCACTTTGGCAGAAAAAATGAAATGCAAAGAGACAGAATGGGGGACAATGCCTGGCTTGAGAGCAGTACGTGTGAAAAAGATCTTGGAGTCCTCATGGACAGCAAGTTAAGCATGAGCCAGGAATGTGATGAGGCAGCAAGAAAAGCCAATGGCATTTTGGCCTGCATCAATAGAAGCCTAGTGTCTAGATCTAGGGAAGTCCTGCCCCCCATGCTGTATTCCGCTCTGGTTAGACCCACACCTGGAATATTGTGTCCAATTCTGGGCACCACATTTGAAGAGAGATATTGACTCTAAGCTGGAATGTGTCCAGAGGAGGGCGACTAAAATGATCAAGGGTCTGGAGAACAAGCCCTATGAGGAGCGGCTTAAAGTGCTGGGCATGTTTAGCCTGAAGAAGAGAAGGCTGAGAGGAGATATGATAGCCATGTATAAATATGTGAGAGGAAGCCACAGGGAGGAGGAGGGAGCAAGCTTGTTTCCTGCTTCTCTGGAGACTAGGACGCAGTGGAACAATGGCTTCAACCTACAAGAGAGGAGATTCCACCTGAACATGAGGAAGAACTTTCTGACTGTGAGAGCCGTTCAGCAGTGGAACTGTCTGCCCCGGAGGGAGTGTGGTGGAGGCTCCTTCTTTGGAAGCTTTGAACAGAGGCTGGATGGCCATCTGTCGGGTGCTTTGAATGCAATTTTCCTGCTTCTTGGCAGAATGGGGTTGGACTGGGTGATGGCCCACAAGGTCTCTTCCAACTCTAGGATTCTATGATTCTATACTTGGGGTGTTGTTCATGGGACAAGAAAAAAAAATGCTAATGGCAAGAAAATACTTACTCTTTTAAGTGATGGCTTTGGATTACGATTTTAGATTTTGTGATTTTAGTGCTATATGAAAATGGTTTTAATTCTATATTTTAATTTTAAATGTCTGCTTACATTCTATGTTTAATATGATAAAGGTTTAATGTATAGTTGTATGTGTTCATTTTAGTTATGCTTAGGTTTCGTATATATGTTGGCACTGAATCTTTCCATTACTTGTTGTACACCACTTTGAGTCCCCTCAGGGGTGACAAAAGTGGTCTATAAATTCAATAAATAAATATCAAGAAATTGCTTCGGTTCAGAAGAAGGCCATATTGGGGGAAATAAATAGGGTTCCAATGGGTAGCATGTGGGAAATGGCTGCTATGTTGTTGAATGTCTTCTAACATAAAATCTAACTATCGTTGAATGTCTTCCGTTTTGTTCAAAAAATAAAATGGCATTTGCTTCTTTTCCCTAGGATCCCAGCCAGCCTCTTTATTGGGACCAGCACCTGGCCTATTAAACCCTCCTATCTCAGCAGATATTATTCAGGCAACACGTCATCTTCAGGTCAGTGGCTTTCTTTTGTCATTGTCTTGGCTGCTAGGTGATGATGTGTTGATGTCTTTGCATTTTCCTGTAATTTAGGGAATTGACCTTGAGAACACCATGAACAATTCAGGTGTTAAAGTGGTTGTGTTGGCTACATCTCTGGGTCTTTGGTAAGAGCCAGAACAGGGGTTCACTGTCTGAGTTTGAATTTCATCCAGGGGTCAAATGAAGGCTCTTTCGAGGCTTGTGTTATTTTATTTATTTATTTATTTAGAACATTTTTACCCGCCCTTCTCAACCCCTGGGGGGACTCAGGGTGGCTTCCAATTGGCAATAATTCAATGCCGTATCATAAAATACAGAATAACAAATATAACAATTAAACATGAACATTAAAAAATAAAGATTAAAACAGTATATTTACACTCTGATTAGCTGTTGCCCGTCTGGTGGCTGTTGAACTAGCCACCTACTAATGATGACTCCGCTTAACTTATCCAAATCCTCTTCCAAGCCATAGTCAAACATTATCAATTGTCCTTTAACCTGATTGCCCGAAGGCCTGGCCCCACAGCCACGTTTTAACCTTTTTTCTAAAGGTGAGGAGGGATGACGATGACCTAATTTCCCCGGGGAGCAAATTCCACAGGCGGGGGGCCACCACCGAGAAGGCCCTGTCCCTCGTCCCCGCCAAGCGTGTTTGGGACAGAGGCGGGGCCGAGAGCAGGGCCTCCCCAGACAATCTTAAGCTCTGAGGTGGGACGTAGAAGGAGATACGTTCGGACAGGTACGCTGGACCGGAGCCGTATAGGGTTTTATAGGTCAAGACCAGCAGTTTGAATTGTGCTCGGAACTGGATCGGCAGCCAGTGGAGCTGACACAGCAGGAGGGTAGTATGCTCCCTGTATGACGCTCCGGTGAGTAATCTAGCTGCCGCCCGTTGGACTAATTGCAATTTCCGAACAGTCTTCAAAGGCAACCCCCACGTAGAGTGCGTTGCAGTAATCTATGTGACAAGAGTGTGGACCACCATAGCCAGTGTTGGCTCCTCTGGTGCCTCGGGAATGGAACTTTAGATTTTCTGCACTGGATGAAACTGAAGCTGTATGTGCGGTGCTAGCCTGACTTGGCCATTGCAGGAGGAAAGATCTTGGTGGAAGTGCGACAAGCCTTCTTTCCCAGAACAACTAACTTGACATGCTATTAGCAAATTGTACTGTGCATAGTAATTCAGCTGGCTTAATCCCACTTGCAGCCCTGATGTTTGGCATGTGGGGTATGAAAGATAGACATTTTCAATAACTAAATAAGAGCTTGACAAATTTAGGTTCTTATTTTAATGTCCGTGGGTAGATAAAAGGGGGCAGAAATACCTGTATATATTTTTGTAAACGTAATCGGTCTGGTAATATTTTTTTGTTACAGGAGTAAGATCAAATGCATTGTCATAAGGTCTGCAGCAGGTGCATGCCCCAAATTCTGAGTCTTACGTAGAAAGACGCATCATAGAGACCACAAGAGCCATCCAGTCCAACTCCCCTTTTTTCGTGCAGGAAGACATAAGTAAAGCCTTACCGACAGATGGCCATGAAGCCTCTGTTTAAAAACGCCCAAATTAGGAGACTCCTCCATGCTCTAAGGCAGATTATTCCACTGTTGGACAGCTCTTACTGTCAGGAGGTTCTCCCTAATCTTTAGGTGGAATTTCATTTCTTCCAATTTGAAGACATTGCTCCATGTCTTGGTCTCAAGCATGCCCCCTCCTCTTGTTAATTATCAAGATGACTCATAATATTTTAAGATAAGTGTTAATTTTCCAGTGTAATTAGAATGAAAAGGCAACGAAAAGATGTATAAGTTTAGACATCTGGTTAGTGTACTTTCAATATTAACGACCAGGAGTATAGAGCCTGTTAGCTAGGGATCATTAAATAGAAGTTATCTTGTTTAGTAAGTGACTAGAGTTTGAGAATAGCCAAGGCCGAGATTGGTCTCAGCTGAAGGAAGGCTATAAATGGTGTAGAACTTACAATTTTTGGCTTACAAAAATTGAATATTAGGTGGTGGCTTAGACTGTGGCCAGGAAATCAGAGGACGCTTGCTTCTTGGGAGGAGAGCAATGTCCAATCTCGATAAAATAGTAAAGAGTAGAGACATCACACTGGCAACAAAGATCCGCCTAGTCAAAGCCATGGTATTCCCTGTAGTAACCTACGGATGTGAGAGCTGGACCTTAGGGAAGGCTGAGCGAAGGAAGATAGATGTTTTTGAGCTGTGGTGTTGGAGGAAAGTTCTGAGAGTGCCTTGGACTGCGAGAAGATCCAACCAGTCCATCCTCCAGGAAATAAAGCCCAACTGCTCATTGGAGGGAAGGATACTAGAGACAAAGTTGAAGTCCTTTGGCCACATTGTGAGGGGATGGCAGAGCCTAGAGAGGACAATTATTCTGGGGAAAGTGGAAGGCAAAAGGAGGAGGGGCCGACCAGGGGCGAGATGGATGGATGGCATCCTTGAAGTGACTGGGCTGACCTTGAAGGAGCTGGGGGTGGTGACGGCCGACAGGGAGCTCTGGCGTGGGCTGGTTCATGAGAGTCGGAGACGACTGAACGAATGAACAACAACTTAGACCTAAGTCACATTTGCATTGTGTAATCATTATTCCTGTTGACTGGCTTTGGGAACAATATGTGCAAAGTTCCACGTGTTTGTTGCTGGCACTCAACTGGGACTTATCGTTATGTTATTACACTGATTTCCTTGTGTCTTTGCGTTTTCAGGGGGGAGAGAAGCAACGCGTTTTTACTGGTATTGTCACCAGTCTCCATGATTACTTTGGAGTGGTGGATGATGAAGTTTTCTTCCAGTTAAGGTAATTAAGATGCTGCCGAAACAGAATAGAATAATTGCATTGCCATTATACATGGCACAACAACATTACCTTTTATGCTTGAGTGTAAGGCAAGTTTTTCAGCCCTTTCTTTAGGATGAACCCCCCCCCCCTCCGCTTATATTCAAGTCAAAGTTATTTATTATTTTACTCTGTTATTACTATTATTATTGTTACATTTATTATTTTACCCTATTTATTATTATTATTATTACATTTATTATTTTACTCTATTTTATTATTACAATTATTAATTTACTCTATTATTGCTATTAATACATTTATATTATTTTACTTTATTATTATATTTATTATTTACTCTTTGTTATTACATTTACATTATTTTACTGTATTATTATTACATTTATTATTTTAATCTATTTTTAATACTTGTATTATTTGACTACTATTATTGTTATTATTACATTTAGTATTTTACTCTATTGTTATTACACCGTATATATTTACAGCATTTTTACCCCCGCCCTTCTCACCCCCCGGGAGGTGAGGGTCTCAGAGCGGCTCATATAGGCAGAAATTCGATTTATTATTTTACTGTATTTTGTTATTACATTCATTATTTTACTCTATTGTTATTACATTTATTACATTATTTTACTTTATTTATTATTATTACATTTATCATTTACACTATTTATTATTATTATTGTTATCATTACATTTATTATTTTACTCTATGTATTTTACTCTTATTACTGTTATTATTATATTTACATTATTTTACTCTATTATTATTTTTATTACATATATTATTTTACTCTCTTTATTATTGGAAGGATACGTACTGTATGCACATTTACATTGAAGAAGGTTGAAATAATGGTGTAATCAAAGCTGGACAATCTTATCTTAAGTTACAGTTTTATGTAAATATTAAAAAACGTTTAACCTACTGATGCCTCAATTAATGTAATTTTATTTATTTATTTATAATTCAAACTTATATGCCGCTCCCCTGGGGCTCGGAGCGGCTTACAAGAACAGACTAAAATCTAACACAATTTTAAAACAATTTTAAACAATTTAAAAACAGTTTAAAAACAACAATATCAGAGATCAAAGGTATGTATTTTTATTTTGAAATTCAGCAGTAGCTGCTGCATTTCTCACCCTTGGCTTATATTTGAGGCACTAAGTTTTCTCATTTTTTGTGGTATAATTAGGTGCCTCGGCTTATATTCGAGTCAGCTTATACTCGAGTATATATGGTAAACGTTTTCCCCAGCACATGTCACAAAAGCAAGTTAACAGGTGGCTGTTTGTGGCATTGCATTACAGTCTTAGTATTCAGCAGGCTCTCTTATGAGGATAATATCCTCTAAGTGCCCAATCAAAACTTGCTTTGCACTTGCGGCAAAATGAGGTGATTTGGTCTAGTCTGCTGTTTGTTATTACTGGGTGCTGCTCTTGAATTCTTCCTAACATTAAATAAATCCCATTTTGCATGAAAAAAGGAGAAGGTTGCAGATCATTTGGCAGGTAATTGAGAGTAGGTATGTTTTCAGAGCTGAAACTAGTACGAATAGATAAGGTGGAAATACGGCCTTGACTTGGTATGAATCGGCTTCCTTTGTTCCTTGTGAAATAGGACAAGAAGCTGCTATTTCCCGCTGCGCATGAAAACCAGAGCCAGATTAGTGGAACCAGAATTGCTGGATTCTGATCAATTTATATTCCATTGCAAACTCCAGAGTTATGTATTGAAAGCTTGGCCCCAATTGAACTGTTGCTAATGTTTTTCTGTGGTTCTGCAGCACTGTCAAAGGCCGAATCCCGCAGATTGGTGAAAAGGTGTTGGTGAAAGCTGTTTATAATCCTAGCCAATCAGTACCATGGAATGCCCTGAAGGTCCAGACATTATCCAATCAGGTACCACAGCGTTGTGTTCTTTCAAATGATTAAGGAAGAAGCTTTGATATTTTTTCTTTATTAGATTTTTGGGGCACTATAGAAAAAAACACACACATTTATGTTGACCATCCAGAGCAGAATGCAGTCTGAAATGCCTGAATATTACGCCCACAGTGTAGCTTTTTAGTGGCTGGTGATGCACAGCAAGTAGAAGGAAATGGTGTGTGTGTGTGTGTGTGTGTGTGTGTGTGTGTGTATATATATATATATATATACACACACACACACACACACACACACACACACACACATATATATATATATATAAAATAAATGCTCTGTTCGTTTTGAGTGACATCATAACTCAAAATCRGCTGGACGAATTGCTGCCAAATTTGGCCACAAGACATCTACCAATGCAAGCAATGACCATCACTCAAAAAAAATTGATTTTGTCATTTGGGAGTTTTAGTTGCTGGGATTTATAGTTCACCTACAATCAAAGAGCATTCTGAACTCCACCAGCTATGGTATTGAACCAAACTTGGCACACAGAGCTCCCATGACCAYTAGAAAACACTAGAAGGGTTTGGTGGGCATTGACCTTGAGTTTGGGAGTTGTAGTTCACCTACATCCAGAGAGCACTTTGGACTCTGGACCAAACTTGGCACGGATACTCAATATGCCCAAATGTGAACACAGATGGGYTTTGGGGAAAATAGAGCCTGACATTTGGGAGTTGTAGTTACTGGGATTTATAGTTAACCTACAATCAAAGAGCATTCTGAACCTCACCAACAATAGAATTGGGCCAAACTTCCCCCACAGAACCCTCATGACCAACAGAAAATACTGTTTTTTCTGGTGGTCTTTGGCGACACCCCCAAGGGTCCTGACCCCCAGGTTGAGAAATGCTGCCTTAAGGCCATCCAGTCCAACTCCCTTCACCAGAACAAGAAAATATAATCAAAGCCCTCCTGACAAAGAGCCATCCAGCCATAGATATAGATAGATAGATATGATTCACACACACATGTATCTGACAGATATAGTACCTAAAGAAAGGGTCCCTAAAGAAGGACTATGATATGTGGCATGTTCCAGAGCAGGCAAACCAGACAATCTCCACATCAACACCAACAAAGAAACAACAAGAAATACTGTTTACCCACAAGCACCAAGACATGACATATATTAGAAACCAACACTTTCTCATGACTTCATTCTCCAGATCAGCAGACTGGGCCACAGCAAGGCCTGGCAGGGGACAGCTAGTAGCTTATATGTGTGCTTCTGACCAACCAAGTTAGTTCTTGCTTGGGCAGTTTTGTATTCTCAGAGACTTCACATGCTAATTGCCTTTTGGTGCACAAGGCTTTGCCCCCCTTCTTCCACTTTTGCAGTTTTCTTGGCTTAGTTAGAATGGGAGAAAACGGAAATGTCTCTGCTGATTCTTGGCTAGCACTGCTTTCTTAATCTTTGATGACCATTCTATGAGCACTGGATTGGAAAGGATGAGAACGAGCTGTCAAATGGCTTCCTAGTTATCCTCGTCTTTTTGTTCTGTAGCCTCTTCTGAAGCCTCCCACCCCGCTGCTCCACGTGGCTTCGTTGGGACAGAAGCAAGGCATCTTGGGAGCCCAGCCCCAGCTGCTGTTTCAGCCTCACCGAATCCCTCCCCTCTTTCCCCAGAAGCGTAAGTGGTATTGCTGGGGGGGGGGGGGGACTGCATGCTTGGTAGTGGAGAGAAGGTTGGAGAGTGAGCAATCTGGAACCCGAGAGACAATTTATGGACTGAAGAAGAGACATCTCTTTTGCAAACAAGTGCTGGGGGTGGGGGTTGGTTCAGGGTGGAAACCTGAGGCAGTGCCATTTGGTGGAGCTCCTGGTGGCACCATTTGAACTCCCCTAGTTCAATACTATAGCATCGTCTGCATAAAGTAGCAAGGGGGTTCTTCTAGTACGAAGCCAGGGGCAAGGATGCATCCTCTGTACATTAACTGTATGAGATGTCTGCATGTGCGTAGTTTACTAATTCGATTATTCATCAAATAATGTATATATCAGAACGAACTGCTGCTGTTGATCCTGAGTGATTCAGGAGAGTAGAAATAAGATTGTTTTTTCTTTTCTCTTCTTTTCTTTTCTAGCAATGAGCCTCTTCCAGACATCGCCATCCCTCCATTTGGGTCACCCTGGGAGATACCCTGGCCGGGGTCCAAAGGGCAGGCAAGACACGGGCAGGTGGTAAGCATAGACTTGTCCTTTATCCCGAGCGTCTTTCTTCCCACCTTCCCCTTGGTCCCCTTTTTGAGGTGGTATTCAGTTAGTGCAGGTTTGTAATGGTCTGGAAGGCTCCATTTGGTGCCTGTACAACTCTCCCAGCCTATCCCCTGCTCTCCCTTGGATTCTTTTGTCCTTTTAAGTGGGCCAGTTGTGTCATTTAGTCAGATGCACCTGTGTATTGTCGAAGGCTTTCATGGCCTGAATCACTGGGTTGTTGTAAGTTTTTTGGACTATATGGCCATGTCCTAGAAGCATTCTCTCCTGATGTTTCACCTGCATCCTCAGAGGTTGTGGGTCTGTGTTTAGAAGTATTATGTCACAGGATATCATTGGAGGGGGAATGATGATATGCTCTTGCCCATGTTGTGGTATTTCCAGATTATTATGGTTTAGAAACAGGGTGATACGAAACATAAAGTTTTGGTCTTACCCAGTGACTTTTTTTCTTGGGTTCGCATTTGAAGAAATACTTTTGAAAATGGAGCAATTGCTCTTGATTTCTGTCAGGTTGCCTGGTTGCTTATTGAATGTAGGGAATTTCTTCTGTAACACACACAGAACTGGCAATTTAATTGGCTCAGTCAATTTCAGTCATAGCAAGAGTGGTCAGTACAATCTATATTGGAGATATTGCAGTGACTGTGAGTACCATGTGATGTTTTCAGAAAGCAGGCCATTTGGGTATCTGCCAAAGTATAATTCAGGTTACACAGTTTAGCATATGTAAAAAGGTGCAACCTTCAACACGTTTTCTTTTGTCAAGTCTGCAATGGATATATATGAAGAAGAGGTGGATATTTCTTGCTTTCTGAAATTTCCGAAAAGTGGCTTCTAATTTTACTGCTTTGTTATCATGTTTCTAACTTGGAATAAAGCAAAATTGCTCTCTAATCCTAGAATATTCCTCCTTGGATTTTTATTTATTTATTTCGTATCAAAAGCATTGCGTAAATTAGTATAGAAATAGAAGGAGCACAAGTGGCTAAATATCTTTTGACCAGAAACGGGCGACAGCCTGAATCAATTCTTCCTCTGTACACGAGGCAGGGCATTGTGGACAAGCATAGAGATGCGGAGTTGTTCTCCATGGTTTCACAAGGTGGAGGATTCTTTTAGGTAGTGCCATTTTGCCAGGTTGTCTTTGGATCTGACCACCCCACTTCTGAGTCTGTTCAGGGACTTCCAAGTTGTCCATTCCTGGTTTTCCCCTAAAGGGAGACTCTTGTGGGGGCCATCCAGTTGGGGTTTCCTGGTTTAGCTGCCCAGAGGGAGGCTCGTGTTGTTGCTGGGGGAACATTGAGAGGAGTGGTGGTTCTCATGAAGCTTTTCCTTGACTTGAGTCTACTGGGAAGAGGCTGATAGCCATGGAGTGGGTGGCTTTCACGGGGTTCAGTCTTATTTCTCTCACAGTTAGCAGCAACTTCTCAGGTTGCAGGCTGCTAGCGGGATCATTTCTAAGATCCCATATGACACCGATTCTGCAACAAAGGCATTGGCTACCAAGAGAACATCGGATCTCTTACAAGATACTGATCCTGACATTGAGAGCTCAAAATGGCCAAGGACCTTTATCTCTTAGGGACAGCCTCATTCCTTTTCTCCATCCGTGGTCACCTCGATCCACCCAGGAAAATCTCCTCGACATCCCGGGCCCTAGGGAGGGAGGGACACCTGGAAGCTACACGGCGTAGTAGAGCTTTCTCGATCTATGCTCCAATTCTTTGGAACTCATGGCTTCCATATATTAGAGCAGTGTCGGAGTTGCGACCTTTGTAAAGGCACTCAAGACTTGGCTGTTTGGTTGTGCATTTAAGTAATCAGATCTAATTTGCCAAATAGTCACTGTTGAATGTTTTTATGTTGAATGTTTTTATATTGTGTAAATGCTATTTTAGACTGTAAGTCGCTCGGAGCACCTTGGTGGAGAGCCACTAATTAAGAAATAAAGGGAAGTGAAGTGAAGTGAAGTGAAGGTTTGGGGGGGGGGGGGGGAATGCCAGCTAGCCTGTAGAGTTTATCAACAGGTGTAGGTTTGAGACATCCCGTGATTCCTTTGCATGTTTCGTTCAATGCTATGTTCACCTGCTTCGCGTGGGCAGATTTATGCCACATGGGGCAGGAATTTTCTGCAGTTGAGTAAGACAAGGCCAGGGCTGATGTCCTTATTAATTTTGAGTCTGCACCCCATGCACTGTTTCCACAGGATGTTATTGCGAGCATCTACTTTGTGCTTGGTGTTTGCACAATGTTTTGTTAATGTTAGTGTTCGATCTAAGGTGACACCAAGATATTTAGGATGGAAACAATGCTCAAGCTCTTGGCCTTCCCAGGTAACTTTGAATTTCCTGTTGGCCCAAACTTGGCAGGGTTGGCAGGGTTAGGCTTCAGGTGGTTACCTTTGCAGTAGCTGCAGAGATCTTTCAGGGCATTCACAAGTTGGATTTCAACTGTTTCAAAGTATTTTGCATGTGTTGTTAGGCCAAGGTCATCAGCATATATAAAGCTCTTTGTGAGTGGTCATTAGTAAAGATGTTAGTAAAGAATGCTGCCTTGGGGTAAAGCATTTTTTTGCCTCCTCCATCTACTTTTCCAAAAGCATTGCTCCTTTTTGGATGTGTAAATACTGAATATTTTCATTTTTTTCAAATTGGCACTAAAATTTTGCAGAACCTGTTTCCAAGTCTTCACTTTTTAGCCTTCTGGGTATTCTTTTTCCTATATTAAGGCTTATGTATTACCAAGGAAGTAGCAGGAAAGGCCTAGCATTTCAGTATTAATGCAGCCATGGCCACCTGTAAAGAATTATTGTCTTTATAACTGTGGTTCTGTCCTGCTTTTAGGGATGACTTTGATTCCAAGAAGCGAAAGCAGAAAGGGAATGAGCCGTGGGGAGTGAAAAGGCCCCGGCACGAACCACCGCAGTACCGGGTCCAGTTGGCTTGTTACAGTCTAAACAGGTAAGAACAAGAGACCGGAGTGAGCAGGGGCTTCTGGGGGGGGGGGGGGGGGGGGAGGAAAGAATGGAATGGAGTTCGATTTGCATGATCAATAACAACATTAGTAGAAAGGCCATGTATATCAGTGTGGCAATATCATTTATTAGTGATATAGTGCAGGTCATATGTTTGCTTGATCTTAAGTTGAATCAAATAATACACACACATACACACAATGTATATATTAGACATGTGTGAGCCTTAAAAAAAGTTTTTACAAAATTGAGGAGCACTAGCGTTTTATTTCAAAACTGTTTCTAAAATATTCTTAATGAACATTTTGTTACTATAACGAGGGTAACAAAATTTCATTACTTTTTTCGTTAAGTAATCGAGCAGGTGGAGAAACATCAGGGGATTCTTTCTCCATTTTTGCAGCTATTGGGGTGAAACTTACTACAATGATAGAACACATTTACCACTGTTAGCCCACCAAATTTCAGAACGTTTCACTTATCCACAAAACTTTGGGCAATTTCCAAAGTTGTTATAAACAACATTAAAAACAACCTTACAAGAGCTATCTCCTTGAATTTTCTGTAAGATGACAGAAGATAATAGGGGATATTTCCCCCCCAAGTTTGAGAAATATTCATACATCTACTCATTTTAGGAAATTTTAAAACGTTTTGATAAAAATGTTTTTTTAAGCCATAAAAGCTATCTCATTAAATGTATCTCCTATTATTATATAATATTTTATGATAGATACATTATAGAATCATCACAGAGCTGGAAGGGACCCCAAAGGCCATCCCCAAAGGCCCTTTTCTTCCATGCAGCCAAAACACAATGAAAGCACCCCCACAGATGGCCACCCAGCCTCATAATAATAATAATAATAATAATAATAATAATAATAATAATAATAATTTGAAAATACATCACACAGTCCTAGACGCTTGGGAATTGTTCGATTTTGTGATACGAAATCTAGCATATAGTTCCCGTTTGCTGTGACATACTGTGGTTTTGTGTCAGATATAATAATAACAACAATAACCACCACCACCACCACCCCTATGGTGATGTGTAAGACTGTAGGATCTATATAGCAATATTAAATGACCACTCACAAGTCGGTTTTGCTTTGAAATGGATATATTGCTTGTATCTCTGCAGCAAAGAACAACACTAGTGACTTTTTCCCACCACCACTTCCTTTTATACACCCTTCCTGCCCATCTCCCCCCTCTTCTCAGTTTCCTTATTAGAGCTTGTTGCTTCACAAGTTCCAATACAAGGTTTCAAGCGCCCTCTGCTAGCTTCAAAATGTCACAGAGAGAATTGAGTCAGCCAGGATGATTCAGTCAAGATGTCACGGAGGGCATTTGTGATGTCTTCATGCTGTCAGAAATTGACTCCTCACATGATGATGATAATAATAGTAATATTTATTTATTTGTTGACTACATTTATGTACTGCCCCTCTCAGCCCAAGGGCGACTCGGAACGGGTAACCATAGGCAATAGTTTATTGTCTTCCTCTCCTCGCTGCACAGGGCGGGTTACAGGGCACACTTTCCCACCCCCTTGCCTTTTACAACTCTCTGCTCCTAGTTACCATGTTGGTTGGTTAGTTGTACCCTCTCTATCCAGGTTTGAGGAAACTACAGTATAGTATGTTAACCAGCAAACTTGCCTCTTTTTATAAGACCCGCATGTAATAAATGCAATAGTATTATTTTCTTGAATGTGCAAAAATATTCCAAAGTTGTTATAAACAACACGTGCAGAAATAATACTCTGCTTATAATAATAAAAATCTGCTTGTTGTGCATTTCAATGAATGGGAGAGCTGATTTTTACCTCTTTCTGAGGAGGAACGTGGCAGAAGTCTTCAGTTCTCCATGAACAGGTAGCAGATGTTTGGTTGTCTTGTCTTTGCAAAGTCTGGTTTTGGCAGCATCTTGTTTGCCTCTTCTCAGCCCCTCCTGCGATGCAATGGAAATCTTACGGCGTTACTGCACCATCCAGTTGCCCAAGGAGTTCTATGACGTCCGCCTCTCCTGGCTGGATACCTTCCCGATCACCCAGCCCCTGACCCTCCGCCATCCCAGCCGCATCCAGCTGGCCAGCCCAGCAGAAGAAGCCCCTCCGGCCAAAGAGAGCCCTGCTTTGGATTCCCAGCCAGAAGACACCAACTCTTCTTTCAGTGCTAAGGTGAAGCTTTTGGTGCTGGCACGGGCAAACTTTGGCCTTTCATGTGTTTTGGACTTGAACTCCCACAAATCCTAACAGCTGAAACAACAGCTCTTTTTATGAAGTATTTATTTATTATCTATTTATTAAAAACTTTTATATCCTGTTCTTCTCTACCTCTGTGGAGGGACTCAGAACAGCTAACAGCAAAAATTCAATGCTAAACAATAAAAACATTTCAAAACAACATACATAACACAATAGATTAAAATACATATAAGTTAAAATAGATATAAAACCATTTGCCAAGTTAAATACATCATCTAACTCAAGTATCCCAGAGTGCACCATACCTGTGTGACCGCATTTCTATTTACGAACCCACGCGATCTCTCTGATCATCTGGAGAGGCCCTGCTCTCGCTCCCGCCCCCTTCGCAGGCACAATTGGTGGGGACGAGGGAGAGGGCCTTTTCTGTGGTGGCCCCTCGACTCTGGAACTCACTCCCCAGGGATATCAGGCAAGCCCCCACATTGGCACTCTTTAGGAGGACCCTGAAAACATGGCTGTTCCAGAGTGCCTTCCCTGAATAAAGGAAACAATGCCCTGCTCTGATCAATGTCCTCCCTGCAAAATGTCCTCGGAAGCACTTTAACTACCCGTTGGGTTGCTCTCCCTACATTATCCTTGAAAACCCTCCTGCTTAGATACATTTATTTATTTATTTATTTATTTAGAGCTTTTATAACCCGGTCTTCTCGACCTCCGAAGAGGGACTCAGGCCGGTTCACAACAGAAGATTCATAGACAATAGTATGAAAACATCACAACCTCATAATACACGAATCTCTGTTACATCCATAATACATCCTATCTCTGTTCACGCACAGTGTTTACATCTGGCCCGACCATAAGGTTTTTAATTTTTTTGTGTCATTGCTTATATGTGAGTTATATTAATTGTACTGTTTTATTTGCTTGCTGCTTTGTTGTTTACTGATGTGTTGTTGGGCTTGGCCTCATGGAAGCTGCCCTGAGTCCCCTTGGGAAGGTGGTGGCGGGGTAGAAATAAAGTATTATTATTATTGTCTAAGGCTTTCATGGCCGGAATCACTGGGTTGTTGTGGGTTTTACCGAGTTATATGGCCATGTTCTAGAGGCATTTTCTCCTGATGTTTCGCCTGCATCTATGGCAAGCATCCTCAGAGGTTGTGAGGTCTGTTGGAACTAGGAAAATTGGGTTTATATATCTCCGGAATGACCAGGGTGGGACAAAGGACTCTTGTCTGTTGGAGCCAGGTGGGAATGTTGTCTACAGAGGGACCACCAAACGCAGCAAGGCCCAAACACGAATCAAGGAACATGAAAGGCACTGCAGACTACTTCAACCAGAGAAATCAGCCATAGCAGAGCACGTGATGAACCAACCTGGACACAGCATATTATTTGAGAACACAGAAATGCTGGACCACTCTCACAACCACCATGTCAGGCTACACAGAGAAGCCATTGAAATCCACAAGCATGTGGACAATTTCAACAGAAAGGAGGAAACCATGAAAATGAACAAAATCTGGCTACCAGTATTAAAAAACTAAAATTACAACAGCACAACAACAGAGAGGAAACAAACAAGGACAGCTAATCACCTCCCAACAAAGGTTTGCTCCAGGCAATGTCAGGCCATTATATGCTAATCAAGGTGGTCAGTTGAAACATTCACACCTAGCTCCAGCAGACAAGAGTCCTTTGTCTCACCCTGGTCATTCCACAGATATATAAACCCTTTTCCTAGTTCCAACAGACCTCACTACCTCTGAGGATGCTTGCCATAGATGCAGGCGAAACAAAAGGAGAGAATGCCTCTAGGACATGACCATATCGCCCGGAAAAACCTGCAACAACTCTATTATTATTATTATTATTATTATTATTATTATTATTATTATTATTATTATTATTTAAAAGGCAAACAATACAATAACATTTTCACTGCCAGCTTAAAAGTGAGCAACTGACCTCTCCTTTCCTCAAAAGCTTGTGGGAGATTGGGCTACAACTTCCAAATCCCCCCAAATGCCTTGGTAACCGAGAGATTTTGGAATCCGTAGTCCAAAAAAGCAACTTTAGATAAAGTTCTTTTTTGGGAGGGTATTATAGATTTCCTCATGGGTCAACTTTAATGCATAAATAATGTGCCTGAGGCCAAAGGGCTTTTCTGTGTGAGCTTGGAACTTTCTGCATGCCAAACCCCTGACGCTAAGGCCCATATGGTCCCTCCGCGATGCTGCAGGTCTTGCTGTTGTCTTCTCCGGGCCTAGAAGAATTCTACCGCCATTGCTTGCAGTCTATTGATGATCCCAGTGACCAGAGGGAGATTCCTGAGCACCCAGCAAAGCAAATTAAGGTGAGCACCTTGAAAGTTGAGGAGCGGGGAGCATACCTGGATGCCGGCATTAAAGGTGAGCAGAACTGTAAAGCCCAGATTCCTTAATTGATGGGAGAGGCCACGCGGGGATGCCTGGGCAATGTCTTCATGGAAGGTTTACGCCGCAACTCTTTTCTGCTTCTCAACAATCAATACAACTGGTGTTGATTGAAAAGACAGAACAGGATCTTCACACTATTGTTATCAGAACTGAAGTTTTCTTACCAGTGCATCCTTTAAATAGGATCAGTAAACAAGATCAGTCAAGCTAGTTTGTGGCAGCCAAAGTATAGCAACTACTTTCAAAGTAAGGACTGAACAATCAAACAGGAAATAACACTTTCAAACCAGGAACAGAATATTTTTATATATTTTGTTATATACTGTAATTAAGGGATTTTCTGCAAAATGGTAAGATAAATGATAAGATGATGATGATGATGATGATGAATGTGATTTATATCCTTTCGGATATACCTTTCGGACCGCATCTCGGCCTATGAGCCCACGAGGGCCTTGAGATCGTCTGGGGAGGCCCTTCTCTCGATCCCGCCTGCCTCACAGGCACGTCTGGTGGGGACGAGAGAGAGGGCCTTCTCGGTGGTGGCCCCCCGGCTGTGGAACACCCTCCCTGTTGACATCAGACAGGCGCCCTCCCTTATGGCTTTCCGTAAGAGCCTAAAGACCTGGCTATTCGAGAAGGCATTTAATTGAGTGCTACATTAACTGGCAAGTGACAACTGGAACGGAATATGGATTACGAGATTGGTTATGATTCTATGTTGTGACGATGCGGATTAGCTAGTGTAATTTAGATTAGTGTGTATTATTGATATGTTGATTTCTTGTTGTGCCTTATTGTAAACTGTTTTTATATGTTGTACACCGCCGCGAGTCGCCCTAGGGCTGAGAGCGGCGGTCAACAAATGCAGCAGCAAATAAATATCCTGCCTCCCCTTCCCAAAATGAAAGTACATTTTGCACCTTACAGTTCTGTTGGCCCACAACAGCCCTCTTGATGTTATAGTAAGTGGCTCATAAATCTAAACTTTGCATCAGTCGTTATGAGACAATTGACCGTGGTTCCCAGCTCCACCTCCTCTCGACTCCTCTCCCTTATCTCCCAGGTGTTTGTTTGGTTTCCACTCACAGTTTGCAGCTGCCTCCTCTTAGTTCCCATCACCTGGCTGAATAGTTAATGGATGCTGTATGCTGAAATAGCTTATATTAATACCTTGCAATACCAAATCTATATAAATAAAAATGTAATGTTCGTTTGTGGGATTAACATACCGTATGTACTCGAGTATAAGCTGACCCGAATATAATTAAGCCATAATTAAGCAACCATGGGGCTGTCCCAACAAATATCTGGCCCCACCCATTGTGCTGGACACACATTGGACTTGGTTTTCTGCCAGGGATGGGAGCAGGGTGGCGGTGTGGAGGAGCTGTCTATCTCTCCGTTGCCATGGACCGACCACTTCCTGATCAGATTTAGGCTCACTGCACCCCCTAACCTCCGCAAAGGTGGAGGACCCATTAAGATGGTCCGCCCCAGGAGGCTTATGGATCCGAATGGATTCCTGACGGCTCTTGGGGATTTTCCCGCCTCCTCGGTAGGTGACCATGTCGAGGCCTTGGTCGCTCTCTGGAATGGGGAGATGGCCAGGGCAATTGACATGATCGCTCCGGAACGTCCCCTCTCAAGTAGCCGAGCTAAACCAGCCCCTTGGTTTACTGAGGAGCTGGCAGTGATGAAGCGAAGGAAGAGGGAACTAGAGAGCGTGTGGCGTTCGGACCCGTGCGAGTCAAATCGAACATGGTTTGTGTCCTTTTTAAGGGCATATGTCGCGGCAATAAAAGCCGCAAAGAAAACTTTCTTTGCGGCCACTATTGCGTCTGCAAAAAACCGTCCGGCGGAGTTGTTTCGGATTGTCAGAGGTCTTTTAACTCCCGCCACCTCAGGCGGGAGCCCTGACAATTCGGTCACGCGCTGTGAAGCATTTGCTCGGTTCTTCGCAGACAAAGTCGCTTTGATCCGGTCTGAGCTGGACACCATGTTAAATGCAGTCTCTGTGGATGTGACAAGAGCACCTGCTTGTCCTATTTTGATGGATTCTTTTCAGTTTGTGAAACCCGAGGATGTGGACAAGATACTTGGAGGACTGAGGCCCACCACGTCCATCCTAGACCCCTGCCCATCCTGGCTTCTGAAGGAGGCCAGAGGGGGATTGGCTGAGTGGGTAACGGTGGTGGTTAATGCCTCCCTTCGGGAAGGCAAGATTCCAGCGTGCTTAAAACAAGCAATTATAAAACCGCTGTTGAAGAAACCATCATTGGACCCCACTAAATTCGACAACTTTCGGCCTGTTTCCAATCTCCCCTTTTTGGGCAAAGTCATGGAAAGCGTGGTGGCCTCACAACTCCAGGTATTCTTGAGAGACACGGATATTCTGGATCCGGCACAGTCTGGTTTCAGACCGGGACATGGTACCGAGACGGTCTTGGTCGCCTTAGTGGATGATCTGCGCCGGGAGCTAGACAGGGGGAGGGTGTCCCTGTTGGTGCTCCTGGACCTCTCAGCGGCCTTCGATACCGTCGACCACGGTATCCTTCTGGGGCGCCTTGCGGAAATGGGTCTTGGGGGCACCGCTCTGCGGTGGCTCCAGTCATTTCTGGAGGGTCGTACCCAGAAGGTGTTATTGGGGGACTCCTGTTCAACACCACAGCCTTTGACCTGCGGGGTTCCTCAGGGCTCAATACTGTCTCCCCATGCTGTTTAATATCTACATGAAGCCGCTGGGTGAGATCATCCGGGGTTTCGGGGTGCGGTGTCATCTGTACGCAGATGATGTCCAACTCTGTCACTCCTTTCCACCTGCTACTAAGGAGGCTGTCGAGGTCCTGAACCGGTGCCTGGCCGCTGTAAGGTCTGGATGAGGGCGAACAAACTGAAATTGAATCCAGACAAGACAGAGGTACTCCTGGTCAGTCGCAAGGCCGAACAGGGTATAGGGTTACAGCCTGTGCTGGATGGGGTCGCACTCCCCCTGAAGATGCAGGTTCACAGCTTGGGTGTGATCTTGGATTCACCGCTGAGCCTGGATCCCCAGGTTTCAGCAGTGACCAGGGGAGGATTTGCACAGCTTAGGCTCGTGCGCCAGCTGCGCCCGTACCTTGGGAAGTCTGACTTGGCCACGGTGGTACACGCTCTGGTCACATCCCGCCTCGACTACTGCAACGCTCTCTACGTGGGGCTGCCCTTGAAGACGGCCCGGAAGCTTCAGCTAGTTCAGCGCGCGGCAGCCATGTTACTAACGGGAGCGGGACGCAGGGAGCATACAACGCCCTTGTTGTCCCAACTCCACTGGCTGCCGATTTGCTACCGGGCCCAATTTAAGGTGCTGGTGTTATCCTACAAAGCCCTAAACGGTTCCGGCCCAAAATACCTCTCGGACCGCATCTTGGCCTATGAGCCCACGAGGGCCTTGAGATCGTCTGGGGAGGCCCTTCTCTCGATCCCGCCTGCCTCACAGGCACGTCTGGCGGGGACGAGAGAGAGGGCCTTCTCAGTGGTGGCCCCCCGGCTGTGGAACACCCTCCCTGTTGACATCAGACAGGCGCCCTCTCTTATGGCTTTCCGGAAGAGCCTAAAGACCTGGCTCTTCGAGAGGGCATTTAACTAGTGCCAGACAAACTGATAATGACAATCGGACTGGAATATGGATTATGAGACTGGTAGGCTCCTATGTTGTGACGGTGCGGATTAGTTAGTATAATTTAGATTGATTGTGTAATTATGGCTTGTTGATGTATTGTGTGTTTTTTGTAAAATGTTTTTATATGTTGTACACCGCCGCGAGTCGCCCTAGGGCTGAGAGCGGCGGTCAACAAATGTATTAAATAAATAAATAAATAAATAAATAAATAAATAAGCCGAGGCACCTATTTATTTATTTATTTATTTGCTTTATTTCTATACCGCATTTTTCAGCCCTTAACAGGCGACTCAATGCGGTTTACATGGTACAATTATCAAACAGTGTCAGTGCAATTAAAACATAACAATGCAACAAACAGGATCAACAGCATCAATCCACAACAGTTAACAATCAACAAGACAGATCAACAAAACAGACATAACATAACGCCTCAGTTGAAATCAGATCCGTTCTCATAATCCTTGTGCCATTCCTATGTTCCATTTACCGTCTTCCTATGATTGGTTGCACTGCTTAACCAAACGCTTGTTCATAAAGCCAGGTCTTAACCATTCTCTGAAACGTCAGCAGCGAAGGTGCCTGTCTGATGTCTGCCGGTAGGGCATTCCATAGCCGAGGGGCCACCACTGAGAAGGCCCTGTCTCTCGTCCCCGCCAAGCGCGCCTGTGACGCAGGCGGGATCGAGAGCAGGGCCTCCCCAGACGATCTTAATGTTCTGGTCGGTTCATAGGTGGAGATGCGTTCGGAGAGGTAAGCAGGGCCAGAACCGTTTAGGGCTTTATAGGCTAAAGCCAGCACCTTGAATTGTGCCCGGTAGCGGATTGGCAGCCAGTGGAGCTGGCTCAGCAGAGGAGTGGTATGCTCCCTGAGTGCCGCTCCCGTTAGCAACCTGGCCGTCGAGCGCTGGACCATCTGAAGCTTCCGGGCAGTCTTCAAGGGCAACCCCACGTAGAGCGCGTTGCAGTAATCAATCCGGGATGTAACCAGAGCGTGGACTACCGTGGCCAAGTCAGACTTCCCAATTTTACCTAATTTTACCACAAAAAACTGGGAAAATGGATTGACTCGAATATAAGCCGAGGGTGGGAAATGCAGCAGCTACTGGTAAATTTCAAAATAAAAATAGATACCAATAAAATTATATTATTGGTATCTATTTTTATTTAATATTTTATTTATTTTTTATTTTATTTATTTAATATAATAATATAATAAAAATAAAATAATAGTTTATTTGTTTATTTAATATTTTATTTAATATTTAGGCATCAGTAGGTTAAATATTTTTGAATATTTACATGAAATTGTAATTCAAGATAAGACTGTCCAACTTTGATTAAACCATTATTCTAACCTTCTTCAATGTAAATATGCTTACATGTCCACCAATAATAATAGAGTAAAATAATAATAATAACAATAGAGTAAAAGAATGGAATGTAATAATAACAATACAGTAAAATAATAAATGTAACAATAACAATAATAAAATAATAAATGTAAAAGTAATAACAACAACAAAGTAAAATAATAAATAACATTGACTTGAGTATAAGCCGGGGGAGACTTTTTCAGCTTAAAAAAGGACTGAAAAACTAGGCTTATACTCGAGTATATACAGTAACTCAAAAACCACTGGATGAGTTGACACCAAATTTGGACACAAGACACCTCTCAGGCCAACGAGTGACCATTACTCATAAAAACACTGAAAAACATAGCAGAAGAGACTTTTAGAGCCAAAAAATAAAAAAATACATAACAATGCATGTGCATAACCACATATACACAAATACATACACACATATACACACAGAAAACACATATACACAGACTGGGCCACAGCAACGCGTGGCAGAAGATGACTAGCATAATATATAATCTATATAAATAAAAATGTAATGTTAGTTTGTGGGTTGAACATAACTCAAAAACCACTGGATGAATGGACACCAGATTTGGACACAAGACACCTCTCAGGCCAATAAGTGACCATCACTCATAAAAACACTGGAAAACACAGCAGAAGAGACTTTGAAAGCCAAAAAATAAGAAATACATTACAATGCATGCATAAAACCACATATATACACATATACACAAATATATACACACACATCTATACATATTTACAAACACACGAAATACATATACACAGACTGGGCCACAGCAACGCGTGGCAGGGGACAGCTGGTCACATATATCCTGTTTCATTCCAAGCCTCTTCCTGCATTCACCCCACGATCTGAGTGTGTGACTCGATAGTGTGCTGAGGAGGCATGCATCTGTTGTTCTGTCCTCAGTTCTTGCTGGGAAAGAAAGCGGACGAAACGGTGCTGATAGGAGGGGAGTGGTCCCCTTCTCTGGATGGCCCCGACCCAGCAGCAGACTCCAAGGTCCTCATTCGCACGGCCATCCGTTGCACGAAGGCTCAGACTGGTTTGGACCTGACAGGCTGCACAAAATGGTAAGTGGTAAATGGTAATTTTTCTGTGTTTGTCTCCATTTCATTTATATGAGGTTTTTCTAGACACTATTTGTAAGGTGGTTTATGGGAGGGGGGGGGGGTGCAGGAAACAGAGTTTATTTATTTATTTATTTCAGATATTTCTACCCCGCCCTTCTCTACCCCCGAAGGGGGACTCAGGGCGGCTTACAGCCAGCAACAATTCAATGCCCCACATATACAACAAACAAGCAACAGTTACATAGTAAGTCACAACATTGAAATTAGATTAAAAACCATTTAAATCAGTGTTTCTCGACCTGGGGGTCGGGACCCCTAGGGGGGTCCTGAGGGGGTGTCAAGAGGGGTCACCAAAGACCATCAGAAAACACAGTAAGTTCTGTTGGTCATGGGGGTTCTGTGTGGGAAGTTTGGTCCGATTCTATTGTTTGTTTGTTTGTTTATTTATTTATTTATTTATTTATTTACTTTGCTTCTATACCGCTGTTCTCAGCCCGGAGGCGACTCACAGCGGTTCACAACACACAGGAAAACAGCAAAATTCAATGCACCAATATAAAAACAGTTAACAACCTAATCTAATACACAGTTAATACACAATTACTATAATAACCATTCACTAGCGTCTCATCACTAAAAAACAAGATCCAGATTCGTCATCCATTGTTCCATTCCTATGTCATTACCATTCATTGCACTAATTCATTGTTGGTGGGGTTCAGAATGCTCTTTGATTGTAGGTGAACTATAAATCCCAGCAACTACAATTCCCAACTCTTTTTCCCAAACTCCACCAGTGTTCACATTTGGCCATATTGAGTATTTGTYCCAAGTTTGGTCCAGATCCARCATTGTTTGAGTCCTACATCTCTGGATGTAYGTGAACTACAACTCCRAACTCAAAGTCAATGCCCACCAAACCCTCCCAGTATTTTCTGTTGCTCGTGGGAGTTCTGTGTGCCAAGTTTGGTTCAGTTCCTTTGTCGGTGGATACCAAAATGCTCTTTGATTGAAGGTGAACTATAAATCCCAGGAACTACAACTCCCAAATGACAAAATCAATCCCAACCCCACCAGGATTCAAATGTGGGTGTATCAGGTATTTGTGCCAAATGTGGTCAAGTGAATGAAAATCCATCCTGCATATCAGATATTTACATGAGGATTCATAACAGGAGCAAAATCACAGCTATGAAGGAGCAACAAAAATAATGTGATGGTTGGGGGTCACCACAACATATGAGGAACTGCATTAGGAAGCTTGAGAAGCACTGATTTAAATAGTACAAATGGAATGAGTTGGCATGTCAAGTCCACGCTCTGGGATCGACAACTTAATCAGAAGCCTGCTATCCCATATTCCACTACTATAGGGGTGGACAGCTGTTATGGACTAATTCCCCCCCCCCCCCATGCCAAAATGGTCATATACATTAGAACAGCATCTTCATATTGCAGGTGCTTCCATATATTTTAAGAGCCAGTAAACAGAAGGCAACATTTATTTATATATTTTGAGTACTTCTACCCCGCCCTTCTCAACCCCCCCGGGGGACGGACGGACTCAGGGCGGCTTACAAAAAGGCACAATTCGATGCCTACGCAAGATATACATACATACAAAACAGCAATTAAAACAATTATCAAGTTAAAAATAATTGGTACATAACACAATCAGTAAAACTAATCTCATGCTCAGCGTTCAGAGTTCCATAATTCCATTCCACGTAGTCAATTCCTGGCCATTCTCAAAGTCCTTTCTTTATCTGCCAGATTGTCCGAATGCCTGATCCCAAATCCATGTTTTCAGTTTTTTCCTAAAGGAAAGGAGGGATGTCGCTGATCTAATTTCCCTGGGGAGTGAATTCCACAGGCGAGGGGCCACCACCGAGAAGGCCCTGCTCCTCGTCCCCGCCAGTCTCACTTGTGATAGAGGCGGGGTCGAGAGCAGGGCCTCCCCAGAAGATCTTAGACTCTGAGGTGGGACGTAGAGGGAGATCCATTCGGACAGATACACTGGACAGATACGTTGACAGAACCATTCTCTTTTCATCGATGTCATATCCTGCTCTTCTTTCCTTATTCTTCCAGCAAGGCTGCAAGGCCACCATCCTTCAAAGTCAACTGCCACTTCCAAGATTTAACTCTTAGCAATATGCCTTCAAAGGCACTTTAACATTGATTTAGGATCGCGCGTGCGCCCTCATCTTGCTTTGAAAACCCTATCCTAGTTATACCCTCCCTTGTTCATGCCCAGCATTATTTTTTAAATTTTAAATTATTACATTTGGCCCGGCCATAGGTTTTTACATGCTTGTACGTTATTGTTCATTGTTATTGTTTATGTTTGTTTTGAGATTTATTTTACTGTTTTGTATTTATTATTTTCTTACTGCCTTCATTTTATTGATGTACGCGGGCTTGGCCTCATGTAAGCCACACCGAGTCCCTTGGGGAGATGGTAGCGGGGTACAAATAAAGTATTATTGGCTACCAATTTGCTACCGGGCACAATTCAAAGTGCTGGCGTTGGCCTATAAAGCCCTAAACGGTTCTGGCCTAAGTTACCTATCCGAACGCATCTCCACCTACGAACCCACTAGGACTTTAAGATCTTCTGGGGAGGCCCTGCTCTCGATCCCGCCTGCAACTCGGGCACGGCTGGCGGGGACGACGGACAGGGCCTTCTCAGTGGTGGCCCCTCGGCTGTGAAACGTCCTTCCCACAGACATTAGATCGGCTCCCTCATTAATGGCATTTTGGAAGAAAGTGAAAACCTGGTTATTTGAACAGGCGTTTGAATAGGCAGTGCAATGAATTATAATGAATTACAGGAAATCGGAACTACGGATGACGAGCTTGGATTATGATTTTAGTTATGAGACGCTAATGAGTTGTTTATTGATATTTATTGATGTTAATTGCTTAGTGTATTATTGTGTTAATTGTTTTTAAATGGTTTGTATGATGCTAGCATTGAATTGTTGCTGCTGTTTGTTGTTAACCGCTCTGAGTCGCCTAAGGGCTGAGAAGAGCAGTATACAAATAAAGTAAATACATAAATAATGAATAAATTATTATTAACTACCTCAAGAGCTCCCACAGATATTTCTTCCCAAGGATTTATTTATTTATTGATTGATTTATTTAGAGCTTTTATAACTCAGTCTTCTCGACGTCCGAAGAGGGACTCAGGCCGGCTAATAGCAGAAAATTCAACACAAATATAGTAAACATAATAGCATCATAATACATTAATACAAAAATACATTAAAATACAGATCATGCAATTACAAAAGCCAGGTTGTCAAGAGTAAAATCACAAATTCATCACCATCTGCCTTTAGTGTGGTCAGCAGTTATTAACTCAGTCATCATTCTGCAAATGCTATCTTCCAAAGCCAAGATTTTACCAGCTTTCTGAAAGTCAGGAGGGAAGGGGCAGATCTAATCTCCAATGGGAGAGAGTTCCAGAGCCGAGGTGCCACCACCGAGAAGGCCCTGTCCCTCATTCCCACCAATAGCGATTGCGAAGGTGGTGGGACCGAGAGCAGGGCCCCTCCAGAAGATCTTACCAACCTTGATGGTTCGTAGGGGAGAATCCGTTTGGATTTGTTCATATAACCTAGTTTGGAAGGGGAAACCAGCCTCTCTCCATTAGTTTCCACGAAAACTCTCCACAGGTTAATCAACACAAGAGCTTGGTAGTTCCAGTCTGGACCATTAAGAGTGGTTCTGAATACAGGGTTTCGAAGTTGGTTCTAGACCTTTCTTTGCTTCATGGTTCACCCATCCAAATTCTGACATGCCAACCTATGAGTCATGTAGTAGATCTGTTTATAGACATTTTGGAATCTGTGGCATAGCAGGTGTTCTTCAAGTTTTGTAAAAAGAAAAAAAGTTATTTATTTACTGTGTCAGAAGCAAATTGAGGGTACAGTTGAAATCAGTTAAATAAAGATCTGGGCATTGTGCTAAATGTCCTTTGACCAGAAGCTGGCCACTTGGAGGGCCTCTGGTTAGCTCTGCATCTTGTGGTGCAGAGCACAGCCTTTCCAGCGCCTTCCAGGTCGCCCGTTCTTCTGCATGCCCAGGAGGGAGTTTCTCATCTTGTCTCAGTCACGTATCGAGGTGCTGGGTTTTAGCCTGTCGCGTTTGGACTCCCAGTTGCTGAGATGTTCCTGCAAATGTCTCTGTGGGTCTTAGGAAGCAGGTCCTTGATTATTTGCATGCTGGGTGATATCGAACAGAGGATGGGCTGAAGATGCCAATGCCTTGGTCCTTTCCTGCCACTGTTTGCTTGATAGTCAAGCAGTGCTTCTTGTAAGTCAGGGCACGTCCAGAGCGACGCCCAGGTATTTGGGTGTGCTGCAATGCTCCAGTCGGATTCCTTATTTATTTATTTGCAACATTTATATGCCGCCCTACTCACCTCAAAGGGGACTCAGAGCGGCTTACAAGGTGTGTGTGTGTGTGTGTATATATATATATATATGCGTGTGTGTGTATACACACACCCAGACACACACACCCTACATTATATCATGAGTACAGTACAATATCAGCACTATACATCACTACATTGTACTATACAATTATATTGTAATGTTATTAGTAATATTACATGTAATACAAAATATATAATTATAATATATTATTATTAACTGTAATTTGAGAAAGGCATTGTGTATCAAGGTTGGTCTTTATCATTTATGTGGCTCGCAGTGCTCTCAGGAAGTTAGTGAAGGTAAGGCGAGTCCCATGGTCCTCCAAACAGCACCAGGTCATGGGGGCTCTGTGTGCCAAGTTTGGTCCTAATCAGTCATTGGAAGAGGGTCGCAGCAGTGTCGGGAAGTGAGTGAAGGTACTTCAAGTCCCATCATCCACGGTCCATTCTCCTCCAAACTGCACCAGGATGTAGAGTGGGTCATGAGGGCTCTGTGTGCCAAGTTTGGTCTTTATCGGTCTTTGTTTGGGGCCGCAGTAGTCTGTGGGAACTG